AAGGTAAAGGCTGTAGGTGGGGTGTCAATATATAAAAAAACACCCTGTACAAATAAGTGGATTATTGCGGAACTTATGGGTGGACCACTGCGGGACGAGCGCAGCGAGTTCCGCAGCCATCTACTCACCAATATACTGTTGAACTGTTCAAATAACACACTCACCTGAAACGTGTAGGTTTTGAACTAACGAGAAAAATTCTCAACTGATCAGGTTAGTATTGTACTTGAATAACATATTGGTGAATAGATGGCTGGGTCCACCCATAAGTTCCGCAACAATTCACTCATTTGTACTTGAATAACTTGTCACAATATATTACTAGTTTGGTAAGATAACATTACTAATTTCTGTTAAAAGGCCAATTGACAAAAAGTGGATAATCTTACAAATTCTGACTTTATATGATAAGTTATTGTTCAAGTACAAATAAGTGAATTGTTGCGGAACTTATGGGTGGACCTCTGCGGGACGAGCGCAGCGAGTTCCGCAGCCATCTACTCACCAATATACTGTTGAACTGTTCAAATAACATACTCACCTGAAACGTGTAGGTTTTGAACTAACGAGAAAAATTCTCAACTGATCAGGTTAGTATTGTACTTGAATAACATATTGGTGAATAGGATGGCTGGGTCCACCCATAAGTTCCGCAACAATTCACTCATTTGTACTTGAATAACTTGTCACAATATATTACTAGTTTGGTAAAGTAACATTACTAATTCCTGTTAAAATGCCAATTGACAAAAAGTGGATAATCTTACAAATTCTGACTTTATATGATAAGTTATTGTTCAAGTACAAATAATTGAATTGTTGCGGAACTTATGGGTGGAGCCATCTACTCACCAATATACTGTTGAACTATTCAAATAAGACACTTACCTGAAACTTGTAGTTTTTGAACTAATGAGAATAACTGTGAGTTTTTCTCATTAGTTCAAAAACTACATTTAGATGAATGTCTTACTTGAACAGTTCAACAGTATATTGGTAACTAGATAGCTGCGGAACTCGCTGCGCTCGTCCCGCAGAGGTCCACCCATAAGTTCCGCAATAATCCACTTATTTGTACAGAATGTTTTTTTTTATATATTAACACCCCACCTACAGCCTTCACTTTAAAAGTAGAAGAAAGTTGTAAATACAAAAGTTGTAGGTACAGTATTGGCTAAATTTTTAAAATTCATGGTCAGAAACAAAAATTGAATGTCAGAAATGTGAAATATTACATGCTTTCAGCTTTTTTCAAATAAGATGCCCTATATTTGGTTCTATATTCTTGAGGAGCACAATTTCCCGATTCCCAAACTATATAGTTTGTCTATATATGGCTGAGCCGTCTACAACATATTTGGTTCTAAAAATTTTGAAAATAATATCAAAGAAACCAAGTAAATACCTCAAATTTCACCTGTATAGGTAGAACGGTTCACAAAATCAGTCGTAGGATAGTATTTTTACAATTTTTGGAGCCGAATATAGACTGTTCATAATTATATATTTTTGGAATCGGGGCATTATGCTCTTCACATAAGTTCATTAAAATTGGCTTTTTCTGACTGACGATTATAAATTTAACAGTAACAAGGTTAGGTAGGCCAGTCAACGCAGAAATTTATGCTTTTCAACTTTGAATACTATGACATTTTCCGTACGATGCGTCGTTTGCGAGATATGACCGGAAAACCGGAAAAAGTCCGAAAATTTCGATGTTTTTCACACGGCCTCAGCCGGTTCTGCTACGAGGCAGCAAAGTTCAGATTCGTATTCAGCACCTCAAAAACCATATAATCATTGAAAAACCTTCTACCGCATTCCCAACCAAAAAATTACCATTTGATTGGACTAGGATGAATTACCACTTGAAAATCTCATTTTCGTTCCATGCACTAGGAGCCAAAAATGAACCGAAAAAGTAGAGGAAAACAGTATATTAACTTCGAATTCCGGCCATTTTAAAGTTAAATTTGAGTCAAAGCTTTTGAAAAATCCAATTTTTAACCTTCATAGAGGTAAAATGCAACTTGAGAAACAGGAAAATCATGCTACAAGAGCTGAAATTTCAAGTACCAATTTCTCACTTTCCAGGAATAAACAAGAATTTGAATCGGAAAAATTGAGAAATAGGGAAAAAATGAATTAAAAAAAAACTTGGTATAGGTAGACACAAAGCATTTTCTTTTTTATTCCAAGCTCTTGAATTTTCTCTTTTCATTTAGAGAAATTTTGACAACAATTGAAACCGAAAAATTGAGAAATAAAGAGGAAAAAATCAAGAAAAATTGAGAAAAAATTGGGTAACTATACAAGAAGACATTTATGTTTTTTTCTATTTCAGGCTCTTGAATTTTTTTTATTTCCACAAATTCAAGAGCCGGGAATTAACAAAAATTGAGTTGGAAAAATTGAGAAATAGAGAGAAGAAAATGAAAATTCAACAGCCGGGAATAGACAAAAATTGAAACGGAAAGAGGAGAAAGAAATACAAGAAAAATTGAGAAAAAACTGGCATAGAAGACATTTATGTTTTTCTTATTCCAGGGTCTCGAATATTTTTCATTTTCCACAAATTTAAGGGCCGGGAATTGACAAAAATTAAGCTGGAAAATTTGAGAAATAAAGAAAATGAAAATGAAAAGTCAAAAGCCGGGAATAAAGAAAAAATTAGCTGAAAAAATTGACAAACAGAGAGAAGAAAATGAAGATTCAAGAACCGAGAATAGACAAAAATTTGAGACGAAAAAATTGAAAATTACCGAAGAGAAGAAATATAGAAAAATGCAGAAAAAAAACTGTTAGATACAAACTATATATTTTTGGAATCGGGGCATTGATGTGCTTTTCAAGAATATAGAATGAAATTAGGGCATTCCATTTAAAAAAGCTGGAAGCATGCAAAATTTCACATTTCCAACATTTAAATTGTGTTTCTGACCATAATGGTTTTTAAAAATTCAGCCAAAACTGTACAAAAGTGTCAATTTATAAAAAAACACCCTGTACCTACCTATTTAAAATCACCTTATTCTCTTAACTAGTTTTCCCATTCCCATATTTTCATGGGACATTCCTTCAAAAAACCGTATCTTGCACAATGCGCTGTCAAAAATAAGCCAAACTAACCTAATCTAGCTTACTTTAACTTAAACTGCCCCCACCCCCTTTCAAAAGGCCTGTATCCGCCCCTGTTTCTTGAAATATTTTTCAGAAGCTTCCACTGGTGATCTAATAGAAATTTTGTATGATTTTCGTCTGAGATCCATTCGTGATTTGTTCTATTTGATAAAAAGACCCTATTCAATAAATTCTGAAAGTTTGAAGTCTCTCTGACTGCTTGAAGTATTTTTCAGAAGCTTCAAATAGTGGTTTAATAGAAATTTTGTATGATTTTCTTGCATTTAAGTGAGAAAAAATTCATAATTCCATTTCTGAGCCTGAGATCCATTCGCGATTTGTTCTATATGATGTAAATACCCTACTGAATAAATCCTGAAAGTTCAAAGTCCCTCTGATTGCTTGAAGTATTTTTCAGAAGCTTCTAATAATGGTTTAATAGAAATTATGTATGATTTTCTTGCATCTAAGTGAGAAAAAATTCATAATTCCATTTCTGAGCCTCAGATCCATTCGCGATTTGTTCTGTATGATGAAAATACCCTACTGAATAAATCCTGAAAGTTCAAAGTCCTCTGATTGCTTGAAGTATTTTTCAGAAGCTTCTAAAAGTGGTTTAAAAGAAATTTTGTATGATTTTCTTGCATCTAAGTGAGAAAAAATTCATAATTCCATTTGTGAGCCGCGTTTTGTTCTCTTTGCTAGAGAGATCCTACTCACTAAATCCTGAAAGTTTGAAGTCCCTCTGATTTCTTGAAGTATCTTTCAGAAGCTTCCGATGGTGATTTAATGGAATATTGAAGAATTAATTGATCCAGAGAATATTGCAGGCATTTGAATCCAAGCCAAGAGCCGGGAATAATCAAAAGTTGAAAAAGATCAGCTTTTGAAATTTTAAAATCAAGTAGGTAGGTTGAAAACACATAAAAACAAGATGTTTAGGGGATCTTTTGGAGTACCTCTACCTAGCACGAAAGTACCAATCAAATAAAACAAAAAATGCATCGATATTATTGCTAAAATCATACAAGTTGGTACTCCGTCCCTGCGACTACGGGGTACCACCACTGACGCGACGCGATGGGTACCCGGTATACCCACCCAATCAATAAAATAATATTCCTCCAGGGTTCGTCTATTGACATCTTGACTTTTCAGGCCCGCTTATCTCGGACGCGGTCCAGTAGTACCGCGAAGTCCGATTGGTACTGTTTGTTGTACGAACCATAATAGTCTCTGGGTATATACGACTTTTATCGACCCAACGCGATCCGTGTGTGTTTTTGTTTTGGTACCATTATACACATACAAGTAGCTATACTTATTGGATTTATTTTTTGATTGTTTTGAGGTAATAATTTGTATGAATAAAGAAAAATTTATTAATTGGTTTTGTTTTTGAAGTTAATTGAGGCTCATTGGTAGCATTTAAAATAGTTTAATCTTAGGATAATGAATAGAAACTTTTTGATATTTTGTAAAAATAACAAGTCAAAATCTCTTGATATATGAATTCCGAAATATTAACATGAACATTTTTATAAGGAAAGCATTTTCCCCATACACATTTCCTTGGAACCAGATGTTTCAATAAATTACGATCTTTTGGTGGTCTTGAATCTTCTATTTTGAGCATTTTTGAGTGCGCCACTCGAATTCAACAATTTACAGGGAAAAAATCTCAAGATTATTTTGTATTTTTGTTTATGCCCTCCATTTTATCAATCGGCTCCTTATCAATTATTCTGCACAAGTATACTCCATGTTTACAATGGAATAATCATATAAACATACTATTTTGTTATCATTGGTGCATACCAATAAAACGGTGTCAGTTTTATTCAAAAATATCATTCAAATAGAAAAAAAAATGCGGAAAAATCTTTCAAGTTTACAAAAACCCTCAAGGGGTTCCATGACCCTGATAGATTGTTATTTTTTTCAATCATACACATGGTGGGTCGATGTTCCATTTCATCGTTAGTCAATTGACTTTTTAAATTGCACTAAATCATCTCAAGGTTTCATAAAAATAGGGTAATTAATTGTTGTTTTGTGTGATTATTATTGAGTAATTTTCATTGAATTGTCGCTTTAGGTACGTGTTGTTAATTTTTAAATTATTTCAGGATCGGTTTTCAATAATCGTGCCTCTTCAATGTTTGTAGCACCAGACAAGCAGTCTGATTTATTTGGCCCAAAGCCAAATTTCAAACGGAATTTTACCTCCAACTCTAATTAGAAAAATCATTTATTGTTCCAATCAGTCGAAAAATTATTTATTTAACTTTCTTTTGCAGGTTTTACGCATCGGCAAAAAAGATGTTCCAGGCTCGCAGTTCGGCTTTAGATCTTCTCCACAAAGGATCTCCTCGTAAAAACCACAACAGTGCGAAACCAATTTAAATTTTCCGTGTCCCAAACAAAGGATAATGTGACCATAATGAAAGTTTTTATTGTAACGATAATGCTTTTGAACTATTTGCTGTTGTTTCTGAGTGTTTGTTCGTATCCAACATTGAACGAGAAAAATCAGGAAATCTCTTGGGAAGCTTGGTTGCTTGTGGATGACCAGAATACCAATAACCGACAACAGACGAGCCAAATTGCCCCAAAAAGACGTATTACCCCTAAAAGCGTCTTTGTAGCTCCGATGTTTTCGCCAGAAAATCTACCTCCGTGCGCTGAAGGCTACAGCTCAGACCCAATGGGCAGATGCGTCAAAATCATCAAAATCGATGAGGACAGGCATTTCGATTTCCTGGTAAGCAAACTCAATGAACGTTTCGGAAATTTAGACTACGAAGAAGCATTTGAGGCTACAGACGAAGAACCTACAAGATTAGACATACCTATTGACGGTGACGATTATTACGACTACAGCAACGATACGCCTCAGTTTGATAATATGGCCATCATTGTTACACCTACGACAAGAGAAAAAGAGGATGTTAGTAAAGTTGCCAAAAGAGACGATCAGGAACTTGTTACAACTACAATGGCTACAACTACTGTAGTTGTTGGTGAGGATGTGACAACTACTACTATTAGTGAAGATGTAACAGCTACAACTATTAGTGAAGATGTAGCAACAACAACTACTAGTGAGGATGTAGTAGCAACCACAACTAGTAATAATGAAGATGCAACATCAATTACTACTAATAGTGATGAGGAAGATGTAGCTACAACAACTATTAGTGATGATGATGTAACAAAAACAACTATTAGTAATGATGATGTGACAACAACAACTATTAGTGATGTGACAACAACTGAATATGAAACTTCAACTACCCCAAAAGTAACAACGTATCATCCATTAGCAACAACTTACCACCCCTATTTCGACTTGGGCTCCCGGATCAAAAACTTCGTCAAATTTCCCGACGATGATACGAGGCCTCGCAGTCAACATCCAGAAGGTAATTTCATCAAATTCCCCGATTCCGGGTATCAGCAAGAAAGTTCGGGGCCTCGTACGAGAAACGTCGACTCGCAAACTGGAAATTTCGTCAACAACAACGAAATAGTCACTCCTGAGCCGCGGTTTTTCAGTAAACCGGTCAAGAGACAGCACAAATGGTCGTCGGAGGAACGGCACAAGCCCGTCGTCTTAAGGTTTCCTAGAAAACACTTTAGCTTTGACTTAGACAAATTTAAAAACGGTGAATTTTACAGGTCCTTGCCGATGGACGATTTGACGTATTTGTTTGGCTATAAAAACGCGCACAACAATAGGTAATTTTGTGATTTTTTTTTCTTCTTTTTCTTGTAGATCTTTTGTGTATATATTTTAGTTTTTTGTTGTTTTTGGGAGCGTGTTTTGAAAATCAGTTGAAACATTCCGGCTAATAAATTTTTAAGTTTGTTCCGCTATCAGAAACTATTTCAGATTTGTGACGTCTGCTGGATGGATGGACAAATTTGGATTAGTTTTAGAAAATTGATTTTGAGGATTGTTTGAGTTGAATTTAAAACAAACATAACCGATTTGTATGCTTTTAAAAATCTCAAATATGAGAAGAAAAGTTAATTTGCAACATTGGAAATTGCTCTCAGAAAAATCTACATACGCGGACGTCGACTGGTTTTCAATGCAGGCAGTTGCCAAACTGTAGGAATTTTCCCCTATCATTGAAAAGAAAAATTAATAAATGTGGCAACATGCAAAGTTGCCTCTTTATAAAAAATCATGCATAAAAAAAAAACATTGTTTCAGAGTAGCTCCTAGACTATAAAGAGAATTTAATAGTTTGACTTTAAAACAAGCTTATAGTCTAGGAGATTAGGCTACATTTTGACAAAAAATTCCAGCCTATTTTCAAATTTGAAAAAATTATAATTGAATTGTTTTGATCTTAATGAATGTAGCAAATACCAAATCCTACGGAAAAATACTTCATTTTTCAAAATTTGGCAACATCACACAAATTCTTCCCTTTCTTAAGGACTTCAATACAATTTTGCCATCGACATTATTTCGATTTGTCCAATTTCTAAGTTTGGCAACCCAAATCCCAAAAACACTTTGTAGTAGGTAGATTATGTCTCTATAAACAGGGTGTCCATGAAATAGTAGGAAACAACATAACAAAGCCAAATTAATTGTACATATAATAGTTTAGTTTGCATGTATTTGTGATCACCCTGTATGAGTATTTAAATGTTGTGTATATGTATATAATATAAAAGTGTAGTTATTTTTTATGTATTATATAGAGTAGTCCAAAAAAAAAAGAAAAACCTAATAATTTTTTAGCCTTATTTAGCTTTGTAGCATTTTATTTTACATTATTGTTTTGGTGGGCCAAAATAAGCTTTTTGGCACACCCAGTATACAAAACATAATATTTTTCCTTGTAGATAATTATTATTAACAAAACAAACTATTATATTATTTATTTATTATTTATTTATTTTTACACAATTTTGTTCTGAAAATGCATTATTATTATTTCTGTTTTTATTGGAAGAATCTTGTAAAAAAAAAAATTATTATTGTAAATTTTTATTTTTTATTTTCCCCCCTCATTTGCTTTCCTTTTAAAATAGAAATTTAGCACAAATTAGCAATTAATTATTATGCTAAAATAAATTTAGAAATTGCCTACAAACACACAGGTGTGTGTAAAAGTTTTGCTTAGATAGTAGCGCTCCGAATTCTGTCCTTTTCGCACTCGCACAAACAAATTAAACGAGTCGGAGTGGTACTACGTAACGAATTTGCATGACGATTAGTGTAAATTGAATCTAGAATTTTTCTCACAAATAAAATGCTGCTCAAAAAGGACAAACCAGGATAAAATGGACAACTACTGATTAGGAGAAGCTGACGAAGCTTTAAATTTCTTATTTTGCGCTTTATGTGTATTTTAAATAATATTGTTTTTTTTTTATAATAAACTTTGTCTATAATTAAAACGGGGTTTTGTTTTTTGTTGGCAACTCATAACTTTTTTTCTATAGATAGAAAGCTGAAACTTTCACTGAATTTTATCCCAATCAAGGGACTTCAATCCCTGAAAATTTCAGCTCATTTGCACTTATAGTTCCTGAGATAAAATCGTGTTAAGCAATTTGGGGTGATTTATCAATTTTTCAATTTTTCTGAGTGCCTTTTTTCATAGATTTCAGCTTCAAATCTGAGAATAATTTAGTGTATGGAGTTTGGGGGATATTAATTGCTCATTAGGATACAAAATCTCGACAAACAAAAATTGAAATTTCATCGTTTTAGTAAGAAGGTACCTACCTTATGATTTAGATTTTGGAAAACTTTGAAAGGTCGTAACTTTTTTTCTATTATAGATAGAAAGCTGAAACTTTCACTGAATTTTATCCCAATCAAGGGACTTCAATCCCTGAAAATTTCAGCTCATTTACACTTATAGTTCCTGAGATAAAATCGTGTTAAGCAATTTGGGGTGATTTATCAATTTTTCAATTTTTCTGAGTGCCTTTTTTCATAGATTTCAGCTTCAAATCTGAGAATAATTTAGTGTATGAAGTTTGGAGGATGTTAATTGACCATCAGGATACAAAATCTCAACAAAAAAAAAATTGAAATTTCATCGTTTTAGTAACAAGGTACCTACCTTATGATTTAGATTTTGGAAAACTTTGAAAGGTCGTAACTTTTTTTCTATTATAGATAGAAAGCTGAAACTTTCACTGAATTTTATCCCAATCAAGGAGCTACAATCCCTGAAAATTTCAGCTCATTTGCACTTATAGTTCCTGAGATAAAATCGTGTTAAGCAATTTGGGGTGATTTATCAATTTTTCAATTTTTCTGAGTGCCTTTATAGATTTCAGCTTCAAATCTGAGAATAATTTAGTGTATGGAGTTTGGGGGATATTAATTGACCATTAGGATACAAAATCTCGACAAAAAAAAAATTGAAATTTCATCGTTTTAGTAAGAAGGTGGAAAACTTTGGAAAACTTTGAAAGGTCATAACTTTTTTTCTATTATAGATAGAAGGCTGAAACTTTCACTGAATTTTATCCCAATCAAGGGACTACAATCCCTGAAAATTTCAGCTCATTTGCACTTATAGTTCCTGAGATAAAATCGGGTTAAGCACTTTAGGGTGATTTATCAATTTTTCAATTTTTCTGAGTGCCTCTTTTCATAGATTTAGGCTTCAAATCTGAGAATAATTTAGTGTATGAAGTTTGGAGGATGTTAATTGACCATCAGGATACAAAATCTCAACAAAAAAAAATTGAAATTTCATCGTTTTAGTAACAAGGTACCTACCTTATGATTTAGATTTTGGAAAACTTTGAAAGGTCGTAACTTTTTTTCTATTATAGATAGAAAGCTGAAACTTTCACTGAATTTTATCCCAATCAAGGAGCTACAATCCCTGAAAATTTCAGCTCATTTGCACTTATAGTTCCTGAGATAAAATCGTGTTAAGCAATTTGGGGTGATTTATCAATTTTTCAATTTTTCTGAGTGCCTTTTTTCATAGATTTCAGCTTCAAATCTGAGAATAATTTAGTGTATGAAGTTTGGAGGATGTTAATTGACCATCAGGATACAAAATCTCAACAAAAAAAAAATTGAAATTTCATCGTTTTAGTAACAAGGTACCTACCTTATGATTTAGATTTTGGAAAACTTTGAAAGGTCGTAACTTTTTTTCTATTATAGATAGAAAGCTGAAACTTTCACTGAATTTTATCCCAATCAAGGGACTACAATCCCTGAAAATTTCAGCTCATTTGCACTTATAGTTCCTGAGATAAAATCGTGTTAAGCAATTTGGGGTGATTTATCAATTTTTCAATTTTTCTGAGTGCCTTTTTTCATAGATTTCAGCTTCAAATCTGAGAATAATTTAGTGTATGAAGTTTGGAGGATGTTAATTGACCATCAGGATACAAAATCTCAACAAAAAAAAAATTGAAATTTCATCGTTTTAGTAACAAGGTACCTACCTTATGATTTAGATTTTGGAAAACTTTGAAAGGTCGTAACTTTTTTTCTATTATAGATAGAAAGCTGAAACTTTCACTGAATTTTATCCCAATCAAGGGACTACAATCCCTGAAAATTTCAGCTCATTTGCACTTATAGTTCCTGAGATAAAATCGGGTTAAGCACTTTAGGGTGATTTATCAATTTTTCAATTTTTCTGAGTGCCTCTTTTCATAGATTTAGGCTTCAAATCTGAGAATAATTTAGTGTATGAAGTTTGGAGGATGTTAATTGACCATCAGGATACAAAATCTCAACAAAAAAAAAATTGAAATTTCATCGTTTTAGTAACAAGGTACCTACCTTATGATTTAGATTTTGGAAAACTTTGAAAGGTCGTAACTTTTTTTCTATTATAGATAGAAAGCTGAAACTTTCACTGAATTTTATCCCAATCAAGGGACTACAATCCCTGAAAATTTCAGCTCATTTGCACTTATAGTTCCTGAGATAAAATCGGGTTAAGCACTTTAGGGTGATTTATCAATTTTTCAATTTTTCTGAGTGCCTCTTTTCATAGATTTAGGCTTCAAATCTGAGAATAATTTAGTGTATGAAGTTTGGAGGATGTTAATTGACCATCAGGATACAAAATCTCAACAAAAAAAAAATTGAAATTTCATCGTTTTAGTAACAAGGTACCTACCTTATGATTTAGATTTTGGAAAACTTTGAAAGGTCGTAACTTTTTTTCTATTATAGATAGAAAGCTGAAACTTTCACTGAATTTTATCCCAATCAAGGGACTACAATCCCTGAAAATTTCAGCTCATTTGCACTTATAGTTCCTGAGATAAAATCGGGTTAAGCACTTTAGGGTGATTTATCAATTTTTCAATTTTTCTGAGTGCCTCTTTTCATAGATTTAGGCTTCAAATCTGAGAATAATTTAGTGTATGAAGTTTGGAGGATGTTAATTGACCATCAGGATACAAAATCTCAACAAAAAAAAAATTGAAATTTCATCGTTTTAGTAACAAGGTACCTACCTTATGATTTAGATTTTGGAAAACTTTGAAAGGTCGTAACTTTTTTTCTATTATAGATAGAAAGCTGAAACTTTCACTGAATTTTATCCCAATCAAGGGACTACAATCCCTGAAAATTTCAGCTCATTTGCACTTATAGTTCCTGAGATAAAATCGGGTTAAGCACTTTAGGGTGATTTATCAATTTTTCAATTTTTCTGAGTGCCTCTTTTCATAGATTTAGGCTTCAAATCTGAGAATAATTTAGTGTATGAAGTTTGGAGGATGTTAATTGACCATCAGGATACAAAATCTCAACAAAAAAAAAATTGAAATTTCATCGTTTTAGTAACAAGGTACCTACCTTATGATTTAGATTTTGGAAAACTTTGAAAGGTCGTAACTTTTTTTCTATTATAGATAGAAAGCTGAAACTTTCACTGAATTTTATCCCAATCAAGGGACTACAATCCCTGAAAATTTCAGCTCATTTGCACTTATAGTTCCTGAGATAAAATCGTGTTAAGCAATTTGGGGTGATTTATCAATTTTTCAATTTTTCTGAGTGCCTTTTTTCATAGATTTCAGCTTCAAATCTGAGAATAATTTAGTGTATGGAGTTTGGGGGATATTAATTGACCATTAGGATACAAAATCTCGACAAAAAAAAAATTGAAATTTCATCGTTTTAGTAAGAAGGTGGAAAACTTTGGAAAACTTTGAAAGGTCATAACTTTTTTTCTATTATAGATAGAAGGCTGAAACTTCCACTGAATTTTATCCCAATCAAGGGACTACAATCCCTAAAAATTTCAGCTCATTTGGACTTATAGTTCTAGAAACTTTCGCCTGGAATAGACAAAAATTGACAGTTATGAAATGGGTAATAATAATGAAATATTACTCTTGAATCCGTCTGGAAGACGTTGGATTTTGTAACATATGTAGATCCCTACGACTTCTTCAAAATGTCTTTAAGACATCTTGAAGACGTGAGCAGACATTTTGAATGGTCTCTAAGATGTCTCTGCGTTGTCTGGGTAAGTCAACTATTTCGTCCCAAAATCAAGTAATTTTACATTTTCAACAGTTTTTAGACAAACTAATAACAAAAATCCAATATAATTTTCTAGCGAAACCTGTTGCAATTTTTTCAAAGAAGAAGCCACCGACAATCTAGAAATAGAATGGGGCCTTTTCTTCGTTTTTCTTGTACGATTGCTAATGGTCATTTCCTGGCGCCATGTAACTATTACATGAACGTACTAGTAGTTTTTGCAATGAGACTTGCTTGTCTTCATTTTGTTGCTATATGAGGAGTTTTCGTGTGGCATTAAGTTGCTAAAACTCCCCAGCTGACCAACAAAAATAAAAGAGGTTTCAGTGCAACCACATTACAAAACTAGTTCTATAATCGGTCATATAATCTAGCTCACCGTCTGGTAATTTGAGCTACATAGTAAATATTTAGATGTTGCTATTTATTTTATAATTATTAAAAATTACATCTTCTCCTAATAACTTTACTTTCCACACTAACAAAATTCTTCTTTTTATCATCATCGCCGAGTTTCCTCATCATTTTGTAAAACCTCACAAAATTTACGGCCCTGGCTTGTGACTGAAACAAATCGAAATGATCCTCTTCTATTGGAGCTAAAGTTCCAGCACATGGATCAGCTTTGTAGAGCAATTGCTTCAGAAGCATAACGTCCTCCTTCAATTGCCTCATGTGTTGAAGCAGGTCTAGCTTAAAGTCATTTAAATCGAAACTATCATCGCTTAAAGTTTGAATAGTTTGCGTAGTGCTCGGAATGTTGGCGATCTGAATAGCTTTGTCTTGTGAAAGTTGAACTTCAAGCCCTTTGGGTTGAAATTTTTCCATTAGAGAAACGAGATACATCAAAGTGTTTTTAATGTGAAATTGTTGTTCCATTTGAACTTCTAAAGATTTGTACAGCATGATTTGCAATTCGTGATTGGATTTCTAGAAATTAAAAGCTTTATTGTGAAAGTGAATATTATTACTTACTTGTCGAGCATGGAAGCAGCAAGTGAAAAGGCTTAAAACACTGCGAAGCCTTTTTCTAATTTTTTGGCCCATTTTTACTGTGAAATTTTGACTAAAATACAAACGTCAATGTAAGTGCAATGTCAAAGGCCGACAAGATGACTTCTGCTACGAAAAAAACGGGAAAACTTGGCACGGAGAAGGAGGATGAACCAGATTATCTGGAAACGATTGCCAAAGATCCAGATTTCCATTTGGGCACTGGTAATTTTGATTTTCCAAATGGGGACAGTTACGAGGGGGAGTTTTGTGCCCATTCGAGCGGAGTTGTTTGGAGACAAGGGAAAGGTAAGTAATTGAAGTGAAAATGCGCATTGGGAGTAAAAACTCAAGGCCGTGACACAGGAGCTAGGGAGACGAAAATCCGTCACGTTATAATATAAGACTGAATATCCTCTTTCTTGATTCCCCCTTTATTTTTGTTTCAATTTTTGTCTATTCCCGGCTCTTGACTATTTAGGGAAGACATTGTTTTGAAGACGTCCATAAAATGTCGTGAATTCACATCTCAAAAACAACTGAGCCATTTTGAGACAACCGGATTTGAAAGTGAATAATGATTTATGTATTAAAAAGAGATCCAAAAGACGTCTTCAAGAAATTTCGTTGAAGACGTCTTTATTTAAGTAGAATGACTTAAAAAAAATGTTCTCGAAGTGTCTCGAATCGTCTTTAGGCAGACGTCTGAAAGACGTCTTGAATATCGTTTGTGGGGGACGTCTTTAAAATGCCTACAAAAATTTCCCACAGAATCCGTTTCTCATTCAAGTTAGAACTTACTGGAAACCATTTAGAATGCTACAGAACTTCAATAAGCATTTTGGAAAATTCAAAACACTTAACATTCAAGATGTTAAATTTGAGTTACGTATCCAGTCATCATAATAATGGATGACTTCTGAGTGTTCAGAGCTTGAGAAAACGTGAAAACATGAATTATATTCAAGAAGTTGATTATTACTTTTTGGAACCTGAATTAGAAGTCTCCCATGATTAAAACTTTTCCTATTTGACTACAGACTAGAGCCCTTCCTACTAATACAAATCAAAAGAAATTTAATATTTATCAGGATTTTCTTTAGGTAAGTACACCAGCAAGGATGGACAAATATATGTAGGAGAATGGGACGGTGATGCCCTTTTGGAAAACAAAGACGTAGAGATCACTTACAAAGATGGCAGCAAATACTACGGCGCCCTCCTTCAAAGCCAATACACCGGTAAGTAAATCCTAATAACATTAAAATCGAAATTCAAACAAACTTCAGGCCCAGGTGTGTACCAGCTCCAAGAAAACCTCGCCCTTACGTGCACCTTTGCCGAAAACAAACCCACAGGCGAAATAACCTTGGTAGATCCCAATCTGAAGATGTGGTACGGTTTTGCCGAAAAAGACGAGAGCCTTTTCGTGCAAGAGCACCCTTTCTACGGCTCAATCGGGAAGGATTTGGGCAAAGGCAAATGCAAAAACCCGCCCCCGAAAGACAGCAAATTGAGCCTCAAAAAATCATTGAGCGTAAAAAGCGTCCCATCGAAAACCTTCATTGCATTTGAAAAGTCCAAAAAAACTCCTTCAGATTTGGATTTCAATGAGTCTAGTTGGTACAAAGACTATGTTGAATATTGCGATAAATTTGAGGACATTGTGCATAAAGCTAGAACCAACGGAGAAACAACTTTAAAAGAGGAAGAATACCAATGGTACAAAAACTATAAGGAGTTTGAAAAAAAATACAATCTTTTATTGAAAGAACACAAATTTCCTTTAACAAAAAAACTCCAAGCGAATACAGACCTGTTTCAACTCATTCACTCTGAGGAATACAAAAAGGCTAATACGCCAATAAAAGTAATTTATCCTACAATAATCAATAAATAAAATATCATGTAGTTTTGAGCCCCTTAAATCCGCGTCCTAAAATAAAAATTTCAGCCGAATCTGATCTACTAGAGCTAGGTTTGACCACCTTAACAGTCTCGTAAAACTTAGCAATATCCTTTTCCAAAGCTTGAGTTTGCCCGCATTGCCACAACTTGACCAACACTGATGCCCCAGTGTTGGACATGGTAACGGCAAATTTTAAAGCTGCATAGCATAATTGTAGAATATTTTCCGTGTCCAAATCCCTGATGCCTGTAGCGTTGGGGGCCATGTCTGATATTACTGCATCCAGTTTTTTGTCGTTGAGGAATTCTAGGAGTTTTTGCTGGCAGGATTTCTCTGTGAAGTCTGAGTTACCAAAAATAGTGGCGCCCTAAACATAATTTAATTTGTATTTATATAGAAATTTAAGATTTTTGTAGATTTGGCAAGGCAAAACTTAAATGCGATAGGTCATAGGATGAATTGGTTTTTTCTTCTTTCAGAAAGGAATTTTTGCAAATGATATGTAATTCTCTGTTGCTAATGGTTATCGTTATCATACCGACACATTTTGAATCTTGTCTGGTAAACTTTTGAAGCACTACAGAATGCTTTTAGAAATTTTGAATTGGAATGTTTTGAACTTTGCAAAAGGCTCATTAAAGTTTCAAAGTGTTCTGTAGTATCTTAAATGGTTTCCAGTAACTTCTAAATTAGGTAAATAAGATATCAATGAATTTCGAAAATACAAATTGTATTCTGATAATGCTCCATACTCTTTTAGAGGGAGACAATCTGTTAAATGACATATAAAATAGTATATTAAGTATCAAGAACGGTAAGTAAGATTTACTGGTCAATCTTTACCGTTTGTGATGCTTATACTATTTTTTGTACGACTTGTGGAAGAGAAAGTATACTGCGTTTATAATAATGGTTATCTATACTTATTCGGATCATACCCTAAATATCAGTGAAAATTTTCAAGATTGCTTTGTTATAAAATTGCCATGGTTCATGGTTGTCATGTATGCGTTTATTTGTTCAAGTGTTTTTGACCAATTTTTTTTACAAACTGATACATTGTTATCAAAAGCGTCGTATTTCGCGTATATTTGTGAATTTTTGGCAAAAAAAATCAACTAACCAACAACTAATGAGTGACGAGAGTGAAAATTCGGACCTAGAAGAAGCTTGGCGAATAGGATGCTCAGCTATAATACCAGAAAAATCGAAGGAACGATATGAAAATACGTATGGACTTTTCCGGAAGTGGTTTGAGGAGAAAAGTGGAAAAAATATCGATGAAAAAATCCTGATGGCCTATTTCGTACAAAGAAATCAACAGCTAAAAGCGCCGGGCAGTTTATGGGCTGAATACTCGATGTTGAAAGCCACAATTTTTCTACATCATTCCATTGATATTTCTAAGTTTTTGACGTTAATTACATTCTTAAAAAGGAAAAATGTTGGACACAAACCAAAAAAGGCTAGCGTTTTCACAAAGGAAGAAATGTCCAGATTTTTATTAGAGGCACCAGATGATATTTTTTTAATTCAAAAGGTAAATTGGCAATAATAATTTCCATTTTATGTATTAATATTTCATATTTTATTTTCAGGTAGGAATGATATTAGGTGTGTCAGGTGCCTGCAGGAGGGAGGAACTATATAATATAACTCTAAATGATATCGAGGATCGAGATTCCTTCATTATAGTGAAAATTCCCAACACCAAAACACACATTCAGCGGTCATTTACAATTACCAATGTGGAAAATGAAACCATTCATTATTTGGAGATTATTCGAAAATACATTAGGCTTAGACCAAGCGACGTAAAATCTGCACGAATGTTTTTAAATTTTCAGAAAGGAAAATGCACTAAGCAAGTGGTAGGGAAAGGCACAATTGGTAAATGGCCCATGATAATAGCAAAATATTTAAAATTAGGAAATCCAACCGATTATACTGGTCATTCATTCAGACGTACTTCAGCTACGCTTTTGGCCAATAAAGGGGTGGATATTTTAGGATTAAAAAGACATGGTGGCTGGAAATCCTCAGCCGTAGCTGAAAGCTACGTTGAGGACTCACTGCAAAACAAAATTGAGTTTGCAGGAAAAATTTTACATGGCAATACTGATTCTTCTTCAGCAAATTCCACGTCTGTATCATGTGCAACATTTTCAGTTAATGCGAACGATCCTGACAAAGCCACATTCCCTATTACTATTAAAAATTGTGATAACTGTACATTTAATTTTAATGTTAATAAATAAAATATTTGTGTATTCTTTTTTTTGTATAGTTTTTCATTTTTATTTCTGGATGATCTAGGATAAATTTCCGAACATGACTAATATTACTTACCGTTCTAGAACGGTAAGTAATTCACTTACCGTTCTGTCAGCCTTGCCAACCAGTAAATACAACATACCGACGTCAAAACACTGTCGGTAAATAATCAAAATAGTCAAGTCGTACAAAAAGTAATATTTTTGTTCTCTTGGTGATTAGAAGGCTATCAAATGAGAGGCAGCATATCCTAACATTTTTCACCCAGCATACAACAGGTTTTTAAAAAAAAACCTTGAATCAACAGAATTGATTTTGTCTGCAGAATTATTGATTGGTATGTTAGGTTGGTTTCCAAAATTCTGTCATGATATGATTCTCAGTCAGCTTTCCAATTACTTCTTCAAGGATTTATATTAATTTGAGAAGTGGAAAGGTTACTGTAGAGCTATGATTTCTTGGTTGAAAATAGAGTTGATATTGCTCTATCCATTTGGAATGTTTGGTGAGAAGCTTTCCATCACGTGACTTTTGACGATTTGGCGAATAAAATTTACATTGGGACATGGTTTTCTTGAACTGCCTCTATGTATTAAATTTGAAAAATATGAATCTCAAAGCTTGTTACTTTACATTACAGACACATAAGAGTGAAAACTCTCATTGGCTAATGTCTAATGAAATTTCAATTAACCTGGATGAAACTATAGGTAGGTACATGCTGTTTAAACAAAGAAGTAGGTTGGTGGGCCAATATACACTCTTTAAATGTTAAATTAAATTAAATTTCTGTATATAACCTACCTCTATAGGATAAATAAGCTGTCTATCGATAGCAATCACAGCCCCTTTGGGCAAATGTTTGTCTGCAAAATCAGCATTGACTCGTCGCACAGCAACTTGGGTCCAAGACCCCGGCGAAGCCCCGCAATCCACCACCGCATAGCCGGGTTGTAGAATTTTGAATCTGTCGTCGATTTCTAATAGTTTAAAGGCGCTCCTGCATCTGTAGTTCAGTTTACGGGCTCGTTCTACAAAGGGGTCGGACAATTGTCTGGAAAGCCAGTCGTGGGAGCTTGAATTTTTCGTTTTTGTAGAGGGTTGTTGTTTCTTAGACAAGAGGGTTGTAGTGCTAATGCGTCTCAGTTGGGTGTAGTTTAGTAATAGGAATTGCTTGATTTTCATTTTTTGAATTTTTCATAAACAATGTTTTTCTAACCTCACTTTTTTGTGACAGGCCATGTTGCCAAATGATAAAGAATCATAATTTTGCATTTTTGCCTAAAATAATTAGAAATTGATGCTGGAAGAGTTTTTCAATTACCTATTAGCTTCATTTAAGAATAAACTAATTTCTATTATTACCTGGTAAATTTATATTTGGAAAATTTGCATTATTCCACAAAAGTTTCTAGACAACGTTGCCAGCTTGTGACTACTCTACCAATCACTGAAATTTGTTTTAATTCAAAATAAACAAACTATTTGACTTAATTAATAATAAACATTGATAAATAATTACTAAAATAATAATAAATTGATATTCTTTTTGCATAGAAAAGAAAAATCAAGGGAGTTTTGTTTGTGGCGGTAAAAATTCAAATAGAACAACAGCTGTTCGGGGAGCGAGCTGTCAAAAAATGCCCTCTGCTGACGTTTCAAAAAAACAACAAAGAATTTAATTGGCAACTAGAAAATATAAATATGGCGGACGGGACGATTGAACGGTAAAATAGTGTCGTGAGTTTTTTCTTCAAATTTTTCCAAGTGAAAATCTTCCAGATTGACGGTAAGTTTATTATTCTGTTTGCTAACTGGACGAAATCGCGATTGTCCGAAGTCTGGAGCTGCGAGCAGACAGCAGGACTCGGGAGCAGAACGTTTGGACACAAAATGTCGCAAGGGGTAGGGAGCTTCGTCGCCGTGATACGTAGAAATTTCGTTGGTGGAAGGGGTGCCCGTGTGTATTCATCCCCACAACAATCTTTTTTAAAAAGGAAAAGTGGTGGTGGATGGTGGAGAGGAGGATTTGGATTTTCTCCTCTCGCTTTTTTGCCTCACTTTTGCTATCGATGCTGCACCTAAATTACATCATCCTCGTGGCCATATTTCATGATTTCGTCATCAATTTTCTATTATAAATTTACTGTTATTTTTATCAAAAAACAAAACAAAAAGTTTAAAGGGTCAATGTACCTTTATTAGGGCCAACAACGCAACAATAATAACTTCCTTTGAAGCGAAAAATTCCTGTAATGCAGGAACCTGAAACCATTCAAGTATTTTTATTCTAGGATCCATTCTTGGCACGATGGCGAATGCATTTACTCTCTAATCCTGACCCACTTTTGGGTGGGGGTTAGGGGAGACAACTCTCCCTCTCTCTGCATGGCTCTTTCCCCCCAACTTCGAAATTTATTTGGAAATTTGGAGGGAGCCGAGGGAGGTGCTTCTATACCTTAAGGCCCTAAGTTCCCTTCTTCATTCATTTACCTACACAGGAAGGGATATTAAAAAAAAAATGTCTACTATCACTATGGGGAGTTTCACTATATTTGCGACCAAAATGAAAATATCTTTGCCTTGCCTTGCTTTCAGATGGCTCTAGAAACCCTGTTTTATCAATAGATAATTTTAAAAAAATACTGTTTTGAGAGAACATATTTAAGTAATTATAGGATACTGTGTCATAGGTACAGGGTTATTCACTATATTTTGACCCCCCACCTGGAAGGGTAATTACAGTTGCTACAAAAAAAAAAGTTCATTACAAAAATTGTTTAATTTAAAACAAAAAATTCAAATTTGATATACCCAATTATTTATACAGGGTGTTCCAGAAGCGGTCCACAGCTCTTAACTTGAAATTTACAAATGGGACACCCTGTATTTTATTTGATTTTTAGATTCTACGTTCAATTTTAAGACAAATCTTTGTAAGTTAAAACTATCTCATCTTTAACCGTTTTCGAGATAAAGGCATTTAGATTTTGTGGAAGAAAAAAAAATATATCGTGATAAATATGGATTGTATGGAAATTGTTGCATTAGTCCAATTTTCAAGTAACCTACTTATAAATGAAAAAATCTACAACAAAAATAACCGATAAACTACAAAAATTGTTCAAAATGATCTCCATTTTGTTCAATACCTAAGAAATACATATCTTCGTCTGAGATTTTCGATCGATCTTAAAACACCATTATTATTTTCCGTGTTCAAGTTTGTTATTTCCTCTCCAACTTTAGTTTTAATTGCATCAATATTTTCATTATTTTTATTATACACTTTAGCCTTCAAAAATCCTCATAAAAACTATCCAAAGGTGTGAGGTCCGTACTATTGGGAGGCCATTTTATAGTCCCTTTTTTTTCCTATCTAAATAGGAAACTGGGTGTTCAAGTAATCCTGAACCTCTGCTACATTGTGCGGTGGTGGGGCGCCATCCTGCTGCCATATCATAGCGTTGATTTCTTCTAACCCAAAGTTTTCATAAATTAAATCAAAAGCTTGTGGAATAATGTTATTTAAATATGTTACTCTTGTTAATGTATCATAAAATATAGGTCCGACTACTTTTCCATTAAAAATTCCACACCAAACTTTCACGGTTTTTCGCCCTGACTTTTTGATTTCGTTGACTTTCCTCTTTCTATGGTTTTTGTTCTCCCATGAGCGTCTATTTTGCTTATTGTGAACCCCAGGGTCCTTATTCTCGAAACCGGGGAACAGCGTTCTCAGGAGAACGAAGGTTCTGTTTTTGTCAGTGTTATGGGAATATGAATATAAGCGACAAAGACAGAACATTCGTTCTCATGAGAACGCTGCTCCCCTGTTTCGAGAATAAGGACCCAGATGTTGAAAATGATGACTCATCACTTCATAATATGCTATTAAAAATATCTGGATTTTCATCTAATCTTCGTAACATATCTTGACAAAATTCTAACCTCTTCTGTTTTTGATTGTCCGTAAGTTTTTGAACAGACAAAATTTTATAGGGCTTTTTCAAAGTTCTTTGAATTTTTGAATAACTTCTTTGAAGATCACTTGCCGCTGTATACAACCCAGTTTCAGAATGTTCTAGAAGAAATAATGGTTCAGAGAATAAAAATTATTACGGCAAACTTAAACACTAGTCAATTATTTAAAGTTACTGTTAAAAAAATGTATTAACTATTGATTGATGGCCGTTTGCACCAACCATTTTTGAGGGAGGTTTACCAATAATCAACGTTAAAGAGTGACACTTTCGCATGTAAAAATGTCACTTTAGGCGTTGATTATCGTTAAACCTCCCTTAAAATAATCGGTGCGAATGGCCAAATGATTATCATTTAAATTATTTACCTTCATAATAAAGCAATATATCCAGATCAGCGTCATTGTTATTGATAACATGTCTGGCTTGTATTTTAAGAGAATATGTATTTTGCAGCTACTAATAGGTATTCAAAAAATTGTTGAGGCTTGGAACTGGACGATCGGCATATAGGGTGAAAGTACCTGTTGTCGGCCACTTAAGACAAATTCTGGAATAAAATGGCGAGTGAAAATTAGTGGATTAAAAACGCAAAAATTCCAAAGCACAAACTCAAAAAACATTGTAAACAATGAGCTATAGGCTTTGTTTGCCCCTTAGCTAATATGGCGGACCTGTCAAAAGTCACGTGACCTGGAATGCCTAATAAGGTATAGCCACATACCTACATTGACGTTTGTTGTTGTCATAGGTTACAATAATAAAATTTCTGTTTTTGCATGTCCTGTCCAACTACCCTAGAATAATCCAAATTCGTCTCAATTCTCTCAAAAAATCTAACCGCCTTTATCTCGGAAACGGTAAAAGATAAGATAGTTCTATCTTACTCTTACATAGATTTGTCTTAGAATTCAACGTAGAATCTAAAAATGAAATAAAATACAGGGTGTCCCGTTAATAAATTTCAAGTTGAGAGCTGTAGACCGCTTCTGGGACACCCTGTATAAGTAATTATACCAAATTTGAATTTTTTGTTTTAAATCAAACAATTTTTGTATTGAAATTTTTTTTGTAGCACCTGTAATTACCTCTCCATGTGGGGGGTCAAGATATAGTGAATAACCCTGTACCTACAAGGCAATTCAATCCATCTGTCAAAATGGAAAATTAAATATGGCGTGGCGGCCAAGCAAGCTTGTTTTAAATATGTTTTTATGCGTATTTTAAATTATTTTGCTTAGTTTTGCTTGCAACTTTGATTTTGATTTTTTTTTGTGTTTTTTTGCCCATGTGTGGCCGCCACGCCATCACGTGGTTTGGATTGCCTAACAATGGGTACATTCAGGCGGTCCCAGCGGCTCAGCTTAGCCACTCGGCAGGAACTTTATTCTTAAAACCAAGAAACAACGTTCTCTTAAGAACGATTGCTCTGTCATTGTCAGTGTTTTGCCGGACGACAAAGACCGAAACTTCGTTCCAATGAGAGCGCTGCTCCCGTTTCGAGAATAAGGTTCCTGCTGAGTGGCTAGTGGCTGAACTAAGCCGCTGGCGCAGCCTGAATGTACCCAATGGCACCAGGGTATGACATTTCCCTGTAGCCGGACAAAATTTGAAAATTCCGCGTCCGCAACGCGTTTTTCCGCTCCATGTAAACTAGTCTTAATGAAGATTTGCATTATGTTGAGGCACCCCAGATGACGTCATAAAAGGTATCAGTTATAAGGCCTGTGTAGATTAGGGCTGGGATTCTGTAACGAATAGAGATTTTCAGCTTTTCAAATCCGTTTTAGAATACAGAGTGTTCCATTTTAATAAAAATCATTTTTCTGGAAGTTTTGTAAGTTTAGCGACAAATATTAATTTCTGGACCATCCTGTATACTCGAACTAAGATGTGACGATGTGAGTAAAAGAAATTCAGGGATAACCCAAATTTCAGATCAAAATTGTTTTATAGGAGGGAGATATTAAGATTTATTGGACGTTTTCTTAAAAAAAAAAATTGAAATAAATGTATTCCCGAAAAACGGCGACAGATAGATATATGGAATTATGGAAATAATAGGTTGTCACTGGTTTAGAGTAGAAGCGGCAATACCGCATGGTTAAAAATATTTTTAAAGTGCAGATCATGGTCGTTTATCCCGCTTGCCAAATTTTTGAAATGATCCGCTATTTAGTTCTCCATAAACGTCTAATACGGCATCCACCGTGGAACATCCTGTATAAAGGGTTTTTCTAATATTTCAGAGTGAGCTCAAGAAAAATTAACAATATATCCTCGAATATATCTCTCGACATTTCCTCCGGTCCTTATTCTCAAAAGAGGAAGTAGCACTCTCATGAGAACGGAGGTTCTGTCTTCGTCGCTGATATTGATATTTCCATAACACTGACAAAGACAGAGCAGTCTTTTCATGAGAATGCTGTTCCCTGGTTAAAAATAAGGAGGGATTTTCATTCAAAAATATCAAGTTACTATGATGCATTTTAGAAACGGTACACGTGGCAACATTGCAAATATGTGATACCATTGAATCGGGCAAAACAAAAAAAAGGAAATATTGTACCTATCTATATTTTTTTAAAGCGCCTCCTGAAATATTAGGCCATTTCTATACATGACGATAACCCTGCCCTGCATTCAAAACTATGATAAGATTTTTTAAAATGCTCGTAAAAATTATCAAATCGTCTTTATTGCTAATAGTTACAGATTTTGAAAAAGATTTGCCAACATGGAGACACACACCCTTCAGATTCATTGTACTAGAACTATAGATAACAAGACTTCACCGATTAAACCTATCCTTTATTTTTTTATAGTTAGTACTACTAAAGGCCTTTTCGAAAACTCTGATCCAATTAACCAAATCCCCAGCTGATGTAGGTATTTTTTTTTTCAATCGTGTTCATTAAAGAAATATAAAAAGCAAATAGCTGGTTATCGGATCAGTGTTTCAGACAGAAAAGGCCCAAAGTTTCCGCTTTGTAGTACAATATTTTAATTCAACGCGGTCATATTTTGGACTGAAGTACTTTTGAGAAATTCGGCAACCTCGCCTTGATTTTACGGACTATGACGTCATAAACCTCACCCGCGTTTTCGCAGCAGTTTAAAAATTCGATTTTCAAATCGTTTAATTTTCAAAAATTTTAACGAAATAGTTTAAATATTTTTTTAAAAACGTGAAAGTGGCCTGTTACCGGCGTTGTCAAATTGTCATTTTATTCCTAGGTAAAGTTTTCCCTATTAGGTAATCAACGCACCTGCTTTTGTGCCGCAACTTTCTTCCAACATTATCACTTAAACTGTGTTATTATTATTGAATGTTGAACATTATTAAAATGGTTTTCATTTCATTGATCCAAACTCCTGCTTCAGAACTATCTGTATATTACTGCACCCTTTTGTAGAACTACTCTAGAACCCTTCCTGAAAAAGGCGAGGTTTCCTGTAAAATGTAAAACATTTATTAACTGCAAAAAAGTTGAAATAGTACCACTACATTTCAGTTTGCACTCACCACGCAATAATTCTCCCACTGCTAAGCTTAAACATGCATCAAGAAGTAAAAGTGAATTTTTCTATTCGCAAAAACCTTGCTGCTATTGCAACAGCATTACTTATATGCAAAGCAAATTGCCTTGAGAATAATTATTGCAAAAATTTGCATCCGATCCGATGCAAAGTATAGCTAAACCTCAGAAAAACATATTATCCTCCAATCAACTTATCAAGCCTGGGTACCATCAGAATATAAAAACCCAAAAAAGGTGAAAGTATATACCACTTGTACCTCTATCTAGGTAACTAGGCCTCGGATTTCTCTTGCGTCCGACTTTGTCGCAACGAGCGAGCGCAACAAAGACGCAACGTTCACGTGACCCGTTAGAAAACGCGACCGGGTACCGTTACGACGGCCCCTTCTTCAGAAGTCGATGGTGCTGGTGGCAGTCGGTACCGTAGTGGCGAGTGGCGGTTCCCAGTTTATCGTGTATAGCAACTTCATCATCCCCTCTGTTAAAAGTGCGTTTTGTGGGTGCAAGAGTGTGGCGATAAGGGCAGGGGTTCCGTGTTCGTTCGAGGACACTCTACTTACTTTTGTGGAACCGCCGTTGTTGGTCCGCAACTAAAGGTGGGGAACAATTTCGATTTCTAGAGATTGAAGTTTTAATAGAAATTATGCGGTACTATTTTTGCAGCACTACTTAATTGTTATTGCTATAAAATGTCAAGGATGTTGTTAGTTGCGGGCTCCTAGATTTTATGCGTTGGAATAAAATTACTTTAATTACTTTTTGGAATAATTAGGTATTGCTTTAGGGCACTATTGAGTATTGAAAAAATAGAGTTTGTATTTGGTGACTCTAAAAAATAAAAATAGAAACTTCTTTTCTCTAGACTCTATATCAATTCGGAGTGAAACTGCTTTGGCTACATTTTGAGCTGAGATAAATAAAGAATCAAATTTTCAGAAATAATCCAAAATGAACTTCGCCCCATTTGGTGTGCCCCTTTCGGCCGCCCTACCGGTAGCGACCCAATTCACCGCTGGAAAAATCACCCAAAGCGTCACGACGCCCAACGGACAAGTAGTAGGCGTCCTTCAAGGTAAACGCACTCACTTGAAAAGGGTCAACTGACTAGGTTTACATAAGACGTTTTTTATTCAGGTGGTGAAAATGGTGTCCACTATATCCGGCCGCTGGACGCTAGCGCTTTCGCGCACCACCAGCAACCGGGCAGTCCTCAAAACAACCAGACCGTTATTACTTTGCCTATTACCATGCCCGGGGCGAAACCGGGCGATCCGCAGCAAACCGTCCAAATCCAGGTGGTCAACCAGGCGCAGGACGGAAATAAGTTTTTGTCGCAAATCCCTATTCAGACTTTTGGGCAGGGCGCCACTGTGCTCACTGTTGCCTATAATGGCAATCAGGAGGGATTACAAATTGTAAGTGGATTTTTGGATTTAGATTGAAAAAAAAAAAAAACAGATTTTGCTGGTGACACTATCAATTTCGTATTTACAGGAAATATAGTCCAAAGTGTCTTTCATTGACTGAAACATACCCCAAGTCGATATCAGTGTTGAAACTTTATTTATGATTTTTTTTGTTATTAATGGTATTGAATTTTTGGTGAGAGACATTTGAAAAAATACATAATACATAAGTATTTTGTCCTGGTGTCACTATTAGCTTCAAATTTACAGGAAATATAGTCCAAACCAAGTATTTTTTATATGCTTTTATAGGCGCAAGTCAATGTTTACATTGAAACTTACTGAGTTAGGAATTCTTTTGCCAGTAAATACATTGAACTTTTAAGGAGAGATATTGAAAAGATACAGAATTTTTCCGGGTGACACTATCAACTTCAAATTTACAAGAAATATAGTCCAAACAAAGTGTCTTTTATATGCTTTTATAGGCGCCAGTCAATGTTGACATTGATATTTACTGAATTAGGAATTCTTTTGCCAGAAAATATATTGAATTTTTAGTGAGAGATATTTGAAATTTTGAAAAAATACCGATTTTTTTCTGATGAAACTATCAAGTTCAAAGGACCCCGCATACTTCTTATGAGATTCTGGGACTCCATCAATTTTTCTGAAAATTTGATGTGATGTAACATTCTGATTGCAAGTGTCCATAGGCACAATTTGGTCCCATGACTAGTTCTGAAGATACAGGGTGTAAAAACAGTATTCTTGAAATAACTGACTGTTAGTCATTAGCTATTAAAATGGTTCAATTTCGGCTAGGACACCCTGTTTTTGTGCAGTAGAAGAAAATATTAGGTTAAATACTAAAAAGTTTCAATAAATGTATTTTAAAAATAATTCTACCCTAAAACCCAAATTCAGTTATTCGAAGAATACTGTTTTAACACCCTGTATTTCGAAAACTAGTCATAGGATCAAGTTGTGCCTATGGATCAAACTTTCAGAAAAATTGACCGAACCCCAAAATCCCATAAGTAATAATATAAGAAGTGTGCAGGGTCCTCCATAGTCCAAAGTGTCTTTTATTGATTGAAACAGACAGCAAGTCAATGTTGAAATTGAGACTTTTTTTAGCAGAAATGACATTCTTTCTGTTATATTATGTATATCATTCAAAAGAGAATTGAATTTTCTATAGATTGCTTCAAATCAGAGCTGACAGAGTTTCTAAGCTCTTAGTTATTTTTCTATAGTTGGACGGTCAAAATGGTCTAGAAGGCATGACAGTCGTCGCAGCGCTACAGCCTCAGGATATCCAGCTGTTGCAGGCTCAGATTGATCAGCAGCAGCAACAACAACAGCCCCAACAGCAACAGGAAGACAAGGATGACGATAAGATCGAACATCCAATGCCAGTGGCTCTTATCAAACAAGGTAATTTTGATTCAGTTTCAGGTTTCTAATAGTAATTTGATGTTGATTTAGAAATGTGCAAGGACTCAGACATGTCTCAGCAACCCGAAACCGAAACTATTCACGTGCCCACTCAATATTTGCAAAATATGACCAGCCTGCAAGAGTATCTACAAAAGGTGAGTTTTGAGTAGAATCTTGGAGTACATTAGGGAAAGCCTCATAAAATTAGAAGAAGCTTGTGGGATTTTTACAAATAATTGTAGGTACCTAAATATGTTAAAACACCTAAGGATGATTGATTTATAGTTTGAGTTTGTCATTTCAATTGTGAAAACACCTCGGTGTTTTAACGATACAAACACCTTTTAGGTGCAAGCCGCCCAACCTTTGCCCCTCACCTCGCTCCACCAATTCCTCAAATTTAACGGCGCCCCCGAAATCAAACGAGAACTGATCACTGAAGATGGCGTCATCGAAACTGTGAGCATTGCCGCAAACTCGGACGAACATGTAGGTAGAGTATTTCCATGTGTGTTTGTGTAATTTGGTTGGTTATGGTTGGTTGGTTGGTTGGTTTTTTTTTTTTGGGGGCTTTGGTAGGAACTTACATTTTTTTTTATTGGTTTTTACTAATTTTTGGCTTAGTAGTACCTATGCGTTCTTTGTGGGGGCTAAGTGTCATTTATTGTATTGAAAACTAATAGTTTGGAGATTCTAAAACCGATTCTAAATTAAACTCTGCAAAAGGGCACTATGTATTTTGGAAAAACGAGTTATTGGTACCATTGTATACAATGTAACGAGTACTTTTTGAAGCTTTGGAGCGAAACATACTAAAATTTCAAAGCAATTAAGCTACAAACAACCAAGTTACAAATTGTCTAGAAAAATATACTTTTTTAATAAAATCATGTTAGACAAGCCTTCTTATCTCAATAATTTATTCGAAAACTACAAATGACAGAAATATGAAATTTTGAGGAGTTATTTTTGAAGCTTTACAGCAAAACATACTAAAATTTCAAAGCAATTGAGCTGCAAACAATAAAGTTACAAATAATATAGAAAAATGCACTTTTTTAGTGGAATAAAACTTTAACAAGCCATGATATCCTAATTACTTGCTCAAAAACTAAAAATGACAGAAATATGAAATTTTTAAGAGTTATTTTTGAAGCTTTGGAGCAAAAGATATTAAAGTTTCAAAGCAATTGAGCTGCAAACAACAAAGTTACAACTTTCTTAGAAAATGCACTTTTCTAGTGAAATAAGTCTTGATATCTTAATCATTTACTCAAAAACTACAAGGGGTAGAAATGTTAAATTGTGAGGAGTTATTCTTGAAGATGTGAAGCAAAACATACTAAAATTTCAAAGCAATTTAGCTGCAAACAACAAAGTTACAACTTTCTTAGAAAATGCACGTTTCTAGTGGAATAAGTCTTGATATCTTAATCATTTACTCAAAAACTACAAGGGGTAGAAATGTGAAATTTTAAGGAGTTATTTTTGAAGATTTGAAGCAAAACATACTAAAATTTCAAAGCAATTTAGCTGCAAACAACAATGTTACAACTTTCTTAGAAAATGCACTTTTCTAGTGGAATAAGTCTCGATATCCTAATCATTTACTCAAAAACTATAAAGGGCAGAAATGTTAAATTGTGAGGAGTTATTCTTGAAGATTTGAAGCAAAACATACTAAAATTTCAAAGCAATTTAGCTGCAAACAACAAAGTTACAACTTTCTTAGAAAATGCACGTTTTCTAGTGGAATAAGTCTTGATATCTTAATCATTTACTCAAAAACTACAAGGCGTAGAAATGTGAAATTTTAAGGAGTTATTTTTGAAGATTTGAAGCAAAACATACTAAAATTTCAAAGCAATTTAGCTGCAAACAACAAAGTTACAACTTTCTTAGAAAATGCACGTTTCTAGTGGAATAAGTCTTGATATCTTAATCATTTACTCAAAAACTACAAGGGGTAGAAATGTGAAATTTTAAGGAGTTATTTTTGAAGATTTGAAGCAAAACATACTAAAATTTCAAAGCAATTAGCTGCAAACAACAATGTTACAACTTTCTTTAGAAAATGCACTTTTCTAGTGGAATAAGTCCTCGATATCCTAATCATTTACTCAAAAACTATAAAGGGCAGAAATGTTAAATTGTGAGGAGTTATTCTTGAAGATTTGAAGCAAAACATACTAAAATTTCAAAGCAATTTAGCTGCAAACAACAAAGTTACAACTTTCTTAGAAAATGCACGTTTCTAGTGGAATAAGTCTTGATATCTTAATCATTTACTCAAAAACTACAAGGGGTAGAAATGTGAAATTTTAAGGAGTTATTTTTGAAGATTTGAAGCAAAACATACTAAAATTTCAAAGCAATTTAGCTGCAAACAACAATGTTACAACTTTCTTAGAAAATGCACTTTTCTAGTGGAATAAGTCTCGATATCCTAATCATTTACTCAAAAACTACAAGGAGCAGAAATATGGAATTTTGATGAGTTATTTTTGAAGATTTGGAGCAAAATATACCAAAATTTCGAAGCAATTGAGCTGCAAACAACAAGGCTACAAATTTTTTAGAAAAATACATTTTTTTAATAAAATCATGTTTGACAAGCGTTCATATCCTAATCATTTACTCAAAAACTACAAATGACAGAAATATGAAATTTTGAAGAGTTATTTTTGAAGCTTTGGAACAAAACATACTAAAATTTCAAAGCAATTGAGCTACAAACAACCAAGTTACAAATTTTCTAGAAAAATAAAAACTAATAGTTTGGAGATTCTAAAACCGATTCTAAATTAAACTCTGCAAAAGGACATTATGTATTTTGGAAAAACAAGTTATTGGTACCATTGTATACAATGTAACGAGTACTACAAAATGCCCTAAAAATCCAAAAAGTCCCTTCACAAGTTACGAAATTATATGATTTCAAAAATTTTAAAAAGCATTGGAGCTTATGACCCAAAAAAACTGGTTTTATCTGCGAATGATTTACTTCTTTTTAATACCATAACAATTGTGACGCTTAGCCCATAGCACCCTATGTAGATGTAAGTGTAGACGGCCACAAGTATTGTAAAATTTTTAAGGAAACTTCTACGCTGACTACGTTTACACCTGAAATAGTGGTTCGAAGCGAGTAATTTGGCCAAAAGTGGTCTCGTTTTCTCTGCACTTGAGTTTTGATTCAACCTCAACAACTTGTTATAACAAATCTCAAAAATCTTGGAGAAAACGAACGTCCACGAAATTTCGTAGTTTGTTTTGTTTTAATTTGTCGTCCGTTTTGGCCGCGTCCAAAATCCAGTTCAATTTGCAGGAGCACTTAATGATGAACAGCATCTCCACCGAAATGCCGCAACAGGAGGAGATCACCGAAGATCCCAACGACAAGGGCAAGAAGAAGAAGAAATACAAGAAAAAGCCGCCAAAACCGAAAAAACCAAAACCTGGACAAGTAAGAAACAAATTGGTTCTTGATTCCAATCTTGAATACAATCTAATTCTAGGTCCATATTGCTACGGCGTTAGATGGTACCACTCTCTTCTGTTGCCCAGAATGTCACATGGCCTATCCAGAAAAAGAGCTGCTGGAGCAGCACTTGGTGGGCCACAAAATCGAAAGGCGATTTATTTGCGACATTTGCGGAGCGGGCTTGAAGAGGAAAGAGCACTTGGAGCGGCACAAGCTGGGCCACAATCCCGAACGGCCTTTCGTGTGTTCAGTTTGTATGAAAGGTTTCAAGCGTAAGGAGCACTTGAATTTGCACTTCGTGATACACTCGGGCGAGAAAACCGAAATTTGCGGCGAGTGTGGCAAAGGGTTTTACAGGAAGGACCACTTGAGGAAGCACACCAGGAGTCACATCACTAGAAGGGCTAAAGTAGGAATTTCTAATTGATTTTTGATAATTGTTTTTTAATTGGGATTGATTCCAGGAGCAAGCTGAAAGGGCGCAAGCCATTTTAAAAGCAGGTGGTACTCCGGAGGATGTGCAAAACGATTTGAGTGGAATTTTGCCTAACGGAGCTACACATGCACAAGTGACTATACAAGTTGGAGGAGGGGTAAGTCAAAGTCAAATATTTCAATTACAAATTAAACTTTGAAAATGTTGAAGAACATTCTACATCTTTATGGAACTCCTAATTTGAATCATGGTTTCTCAAACTTTAACAAATTTAATCTGAATAAAAATTGTTCAAATTCCAATTAATTCTTGTTTGTTCCCAGGGTCCGAACAGTCAAATCCAAATCCCGGTCCAAATCCAGGTGCCGCAGCACACGATCCAACTGAGCAACGACGAAGACGGCGACCAGCCGAGTACCGTGGTACTGCCCGCGGCCAGCGAGTCGCCGTCTCCCGCTTACCCGATTTGATTGTAGTAAGACGAATAATAATTTTCCTCCTATTTACTTGTGCCTGATATTTCTACATATAATGAGAGTACCTTTTTTTTTTTTGTAAATGAGAATATTTATTATTGACTCTTTTTTTTTATACATATATACTGATTAATTTGAGCATTGTACCTTGACAGTCTTTGGTATCTATGCGCATATTTTAAGGCACGTTGAAACTCAGAAAATATTAAATTGTTGTATATTTTTATATGGTTGGAATTAGGATTAGGATGACAAAACTGTATAGAGACAGATTCTTTATACAAAAAAAAAGTAATAATTTAATTGTGATAAATATTAAAGAGACCCCTTTTTATGTATAATACATGCGACAAACATTTTATTTATGTCATATTTGTACTTAGTGCAGCCTGTACAATGATGATGACGTAAGCAAAATGGGCGCTTTTAATAGATAGAAATTTTTTTTTTGCCAAGATTATGATACTGTTTTTCTAACCTAGATAGGTAGGACCGAGGGTTTTGGGTAATTTTTTATCGCTATTTATTTTTCGAGAGTATTATTTTATGCCTGGTTAATTCTTAGGCATTTTACAAGAGAAAGCACACATTTGAGTAATTATTATTGTAAAAAAATGTTTGTTATTAAGTTGACACTATAGTTGATAGTTTTCTTTTTTTATACAAAAACTAATATATGGATTCCAATACGAGAAATAGATCACATTTTTGTTTTATTGTGGGTTATAACAAGTATTTGGAACATACCTCTACTCAGTTTGGAGATAAATCGTGAAAGTTTCTCTTTTCAACAGTGTTGTATAGACTCAAGTAGCCATTTCTGATTTTTGAAAATTGCCAAAGGTTTGAATAATTATCCTAAAGGAAATTGATAAGAATGGAGTATAATATAGATAAAATAATCCAAGAAAAGATTGCATTATATCATGGGGTGGCAACATGTATTTTCATATGCTGAGCAGTATCACTAACAGTAGGTATCAAAGATCATTTTTTTCATTATTCCCGGCTCTTGAGTAATTGAGAAATTAAATCAATATGATAAGCTGAATTCTGGTCAATAATCAATGTCTGATTTTTCCTGGCTCTTGGATCCGATTCAAGTGCCTGGAATTTTCTCTTTTGAATCAGCTGATAAGTCCTAAGTAAGAAGGTACCTAGCTTATGATTTAGATTTTGGAAAACTTTGAAAGGTCATAACTTTTTTTCTATTATAGATAGAAAGCTGAAAGTTTCACTGAATTTTATCCCTTTCAAAGGACTACAATCCCTGAAAATTTCAGCTCATTTGCACTTATAGTTCCTGAGATAAAATCGTGTTAAGCAATTTGGGGTGATTTATCAATTTTTCAATTTTTCTGAGTGCCTTTTTTCATAGATTTCGGCTTCAAATCTGAGAATAATTTAGTTTACGGAGTTCAGGGTATCATGAGGGACCATTAGGACACAAAATCTCGACAAAAAAAAAATTGAAATTTCAGCGTTTTAGTGAGAAGGTACCCCCCTTATGATTTTTTTGGAAAACTTTGAAAGGTCATAACTTTTTTTCTATTATAGATAGAAAGCTGAAAGTTTCACTGAATTTTATCCCTTTCAAAGGACTACAATCCCTGAAAATTTCAGCTCATTTGCACTTATAGTTCCTGAGATAAAATCCTGTTAAGCAATTTGGGGTGATTTATCAATTTTTCTGAGTGCCTTTTTTCATAGATTTCGGCTTCAAATCTGAGAATAATTTAGTTTACGGAGTTCAGGGTATCATGAGGGACCATTAGGACACAAAATCTCGACAAAAAAAAAATTGAAATTTCAGCGTATTAGTGAGAAGGTACCCCCCTTATGATTTTTTTGGAAAACTTTGAAAGGTCATAACTTTTTTTCTATTATAGATAGAAAGCTGAAAGTTTCACTGAATTTTATCCCTTTCAAAGGACTACAATCCCTGAAAATTTCAGCTCATTTGCACTTATAGTTCCTGAGATAAAATCGTGTTAAGCAATTTGGGGTGATTTATCAGTTTTTCAATTTTTCTGAGTGCCTTTTTTCATAGATTTCGGCTTCAAATCTGAGAATAATTTAGTTTACGGAGTTCAGGGTATCATGAGGGACCATTAGGACACAAAATCTCGACAAAAAAAAAATTGAAATTTCAGCGTTTTAGTGAGAAGGTACCCCCCTTATGATTTTTTTGGAAAACTTTGAAAGGTCATAACTTTTTTTCTATTATAGATAGAAAGCTGAAAGTTTCACTGAATTTTATCCCTTTCAAAGGACTACAATCCCTGAAAATTTCAGCTCATTTGCACTTATAGTTCCTGAGATAAAATCCTGTTAAGCAATTTGGGGTGATTTATCAATTTTTCTGAGTGCCTTTTTTCATAGATTTCGGCTTCAAATCTGAGAATAATTTAGTTTACGGAGTTCAGGGTATCATGAGGGACCATTAGGACACAAAATCTCGACAAAAAAAAAATTGAAATTTCAGCGTATTAGTGAGAAGGTACCCCCCTTATGATTTTTTTGGAAAACTTTGAAAGGTCATAACTTTTTTTCTATTATAGATAGAAAGCTGAAAGTTTCACTGAATTTTATCCCTTTCAAAGGACTACAATCCCTGAAAATTTCAGCTCATTTGCACTTATAGTTCCTGAGATAAAATCGTGTTAAGCAATTTGGGGTGATTTATCAGTTTTTCAATTTTTCTGAGTGCCTGTTCTCATAGATTTCGGATTCAAATCTGAGAATAATTTAGTTTACGGAGTTCAGGGTATCATGAGGGACCATTAGGACACAAAATCTTGATAAAAAAAAAATTTGAAATTTCATCGTTTTAGTAAGAAGGTACCTACCTTATGATTTAGATTTTGGAAAACTTTGAAAGGTCATAACTTTTTTTCTATTATAGATAGAAAGCTGAAAGTTTCACTGAATTTTATCCCTTTCAAAGGACTACAATCCCTGAAAATTTCAGCTCATTTCCACTTATAGTTCCTGAGATAAAATCGTGTTAAGCAATTTGGGGTGATTTATCAATTTTTCAATTTTTCTGAGTGCCTTTTTTCATAGATTTCGGCTTCAAATCTGAGAATAATTTAGTTTACGGAGTTCAGGGTATCACGAGGGAACATTAGGACACAAAATCTCGACAAAAAAAAATTTGAAATTTCATCGTTTTAGTAAGAAGGTACCTACCTTTGAAACGTCATAACTTTTTTTCTATTATAGATAGAAAGCTGAAAGTTTCACTGAATTTTATCCCTTTCAAAGGACTACAATCCCTGAAAATTTCAGCTCATTTCCACTTATAGTTCCTGAGATAAAATCGTGTTAAGCAATTTGGGGTGATTTATCAATTTTTCAATTTTTCTGAGTGCCTTTTTTCATAGATTTCGGCTTCAAATCTGAGAATAATTTAGTTTACGGAGTTCAGGGTATCACGAGGGAACATTAGGACACAAAATCTCGACAAAAAAAAATTTGAAATTTCATCGTTTTAGTAAGAAGGTACCTACCTTTGAAACGTCATAACTTTTTTTCTATTATAGATAGAAAGCTGAAAGTTTCACTGAATTTTATCCCTTTCAAAGGACTACAATCCCTGAAAATTTCAGCTCATTGGCACTTATAGTTCCTGAGATAAAATCGTGTTAAGCAATTTGGAGTGATTTATCAATTTTTCAATTTCTCCGAGTGCCTTTTTTCATATATTTCGGCTTCAAATCTGAGAATAATTTAGTTTACGGAGTTCAGGGTATCACGAGGGACCATTAGGACACAAAATCTCGACAAAAAAAAATTTGAAATTTCATCGTTTTAGTAAGAAGGTACCTACCTTATGATTTAGATTTTGGAAAACTTTGAAACGTCATAACTTTTTTTCTATTATAGATAGAAAGCTGAAAGTTTCACTGAATTTTATCCCTTTCAAAGGACTACAATCCCTGAAAATTTCAGCTCATTGGCACTTATAGTTCCTGAGATAAAATCGTGTTAAGCAATTTGGGGTGATTTATCAGTTTTTCAATTTCTCTGAGTGCCTTTTTTCATATATTTCGGCTTCAAATCTGAGAATAATTTAGTTTACGGAGTTCAGGGTATCACGAGGGACCATTAGGACACAAAATCTCGACAAAAAAAAATTTGAAATTTCATCGTTTTAGTAAGAAGGTACCTACCTTATGATTTAGATTTTGGAAAACTTTGAAACGTCATAACTTTTTTTCTATTATAGATAGAAAGCTGAAAGTTTCACTGAATTTTATCCCTTTCAAAGGACTACAATCCCTGAAAATTTCAGCTCATTGGCACTTATAGTTCCTGAGATAAAATCGTGTTAAGCAATTTGGAGTGATTTATCAATTTTTCAATTTTTCCGAGTGCCTTTTTTCATATATTTCGGCTTCAAATCTGAGAATAATTTAGTTTACGGAGTTCAGGGTATCACGAGGGAACATTAGGACACAAAATCTCGACAAAAAAAAATTTGAAATTTCATCGTTTTAGTAAGAAGGTACCTACCTTTGAAACGTCATAACTTTTTTTCTATTATAGATAGAAAGCTGAAAGTTTCACTGAATTTTATCCCTTTCAAAGGACTACAATCCCTGAAAATTTCAGCTCATTGGCACTTATAGTTCCTGAGATAAAATCGTGTTAAGCAATTTGGAGTGATTTATCAATTTTTCAATTTTTCCGAGTGCCTTTTTTCATATATTTCGGCTTCAAATCTGAGAATAATTTAGTTTACGGAGTTCAGGGTATCACGAGGGACCATTAGGACACAAAATCTCGACAAAAAAAAATTTGAAATTTCATCGTTTTAGTAAGAAGGTACCTACCTTATGATTTAGATTTTGGAAAACTTTGAAACGTCATAACTTTTTTTCTATTATAGATAGAAAGCTGAAACTTTCACTGAATTTTATCCCTTTCAAAGGACTACAATCCCTGAAAATTTCAGCTCATTGGCACTTATAGTTCCTGAGATAAAATCGTGTTAAGCAATTTGGAGTGATTTATCAATTTTTCAATTTCTCCGAGTGCCTTTTTTCATATATTTCGGCAGCAAATCTGAGAATAAGGTAGTTTACGGAGTTCAGGGTATCACGAGGGACCATTAGGACACAAAATCTCGACAAAAAAAAATTTGAAATTTCATCGTTTTAGTATGAAGGTACCTACCTTATGATTTAGATTTTGGAAAACTTTGAAACGTCATAACTTTTTTTCTATTATAGATAGAAAGCTGAAAGTTTCACTGAATTTTATCCCTTTCAAAGGACTACAATCCCTGAAAATTTCAGAATAATCAAAAAATGGACATTGAAAACGATCAGCCAATCAAATTAATTCAGACGTCATTCTGTAACTACCCATTGACATAGAACAATTCAAACTTCAAAAAAAAGTCGATGAATCTATACAATCTATTTATTATTTGATTCAATTACTAATCCTAATACATACTGTTGCAATAATACCATATATGAATACTTTTTAGGTACAATTTTCTTATTTTTACTACTTCAAAGTTTGCATTTCTGATTTTGACTTTCAATAATCGCCTTAGTTTGCAAATAACCCCTTTCCAATTTCTCCTTATCGACGATGCCATGTTCAAACTCCTCAAGAACATAAACCAATTTTTCCGTAGCCAACTTCACATCCAAATCAGTAATTTCCCAATAACACACGAACCGTATCCAATTGTCCCTAGCACTACAAGCTACGCTCACTTTTACAGGGTCTGTAGAGTAAATTGTGGCCAACCTAAAACATAGATGTTGATACCTATGGCATTTATGTTTTAGTTTTACCTTTTTTGTACTTGTTTTGGGTCAATTTTGGTATCCAAATGCATTATAACTATGTTTGTTTGTTGGACATCGACATGGAATAATGGGGAATTGAGGGAGGATATTCCTATAAAAAAAATAATAATTGTGTAATATGATTCAAGGATTTTTGGATAAAGAAATAAAGTAATCATAAAACATAATTTATTTATTTATTTTTAAAAAACTAGCTAATTGCAAAAAAAGAGATAAAATAGAGGATATCACAGGTCAAATAGGGTATTATCTCCGAATTACAAAACATTTTATTTTTATTTCAATGTCGATCTGCACATGTCGTCGTACTCTCTGATGACTAGCTGGATTTTTTCGCAAGCCATCTGGATATCTTCGTCGCCGATTTCCCAATACAACGTGAACCGGACGCAATCGTGATTCAACGACATACACCGGACACTGCACTTGACACTGTCCGTTTTCAAGACGGTTTGCAATCGAACCTGAAGCTCTTTAATAGGAATTTTCGTTTTGTCCACATACATTACCACCATGTTGGTTTGGACGGTTTGCAAATCGACTTTGAAGTTGGACGAATGCATTGCGTAGATGGCTAGAATTTTTTTTGCCTGATGTGATATGGGTGTTTGTGGATAAGAAATTAAACATTTTTACCTTTAGCTATTTGATAGGCGTGATTGTGATCAACTTCCAAACGGTCAATCATTGTGTCCAAGGCGATTAAACCTGCAGCAGCTATTATTCCAGCTTGTCTCCAGCCTCCTCCTATAGCTTTACGGACTCGTCTTGCTCTATTATTAAAAAAAATGTTTAGTACAAAAAATTTAACAAATTATTGATTAGTTACTTGGTAATAAACTCAGAAGTTCCAGCTAAAATTGCTCCAACAGGACAACCTAATCCTTTGCTTAAGCAAAAGCACACCGAATCAACATCCTTAACAATTCTACTGGGTGGTACTTTGAGGTAAACGGCCGCATTCATCATTCTAGCTCCGTCCATATGCACGGGAATGTTGTGCTCGCGAGCCACTCCTTGGACCTTTTCCAGCCATTCCAAAGGTAGTACTTTGCCACCACATAAATTGTGCGTATTTTCAACAATAATCAACGAGGAAATTGGTTCATGGAAGTCAGGGTTTTTGCGGATTTTTTTACGCAAATCATCAATGCTGAAGGTACCATCTTCATTGTTTTTTATAACTGCAGTGTGGACTCCAGCTATTTGAGCGGTACCACCTTGTTCGAATTTAAATGTATGTCCATGATCGCCTGATATAATTTCGCTTCCACGTTGATTACAGTGGACCATAACTGAAATATTAGTATGTATTAGGAAAAGTAATATAACTAGAAGAAATTCTTACTGGCAATTAAATTAGCCATAGTTCCACTAGCAACAAAAACAGCTTCTTCCATTTGCAAAAGTTCAGCTGCGCGTCTTTCCAGATCAGCAACAGTAGGATCTTCACCGTAAACGTCGTCTCCTACAGGAGCCCTATACATGGCGTCTCTCATTTCGGGCGTCGGTTTGCTAACAGTGTCACTTCGCAAATCGACAATTCGGATGCCCGAATTGTGCATCAGATCAACATTGATTTTTTCGTACATCTTTATCGGACAAAATAACCGAACGAACTAAAAGTTTGAGCGAGCGGTGAAGGTCTTTTATATTAGTGAGTGGTTGCGACACCAACAAGATTATTGAATGAAATAGTTGTTGCCTGGTCTGACGACAATTTCTATTGGGTAATCGTTCAGGAGTCCTTGCCTTGGATTTTTAAAATTAAATTTATCAGGCCTTTTTGCCAGTGCAGTGACCGCTAGACTTATGTATGAACACATTGAACCAAAAATCATTTTATGGTATATAATTACATAAATTATCTTTAATACATCATTTATAAATGAGATTACAGATAAATTCAAGTTCTAATTACAATCATCAAAAAAACTTTAAGCATATGGATAACCAGAATGGAATTATTAATTATTTCAATTAAAAAGCAAATGAAGTTTAAATAAGCTGATATTCAAGATGTCTTATAGGTAGATGTCTTTTTTAGGTCTGCATTACCAAAACAACGTCTTTACAATGTCTTAGTCCTGAAGACGTATTTAAGCAGACGTCTTTCAGACGTCTGCTTGGGTTTTGTAAAATACGACGTTTTCAAGATGTCTTAAAGGCGTTTTAAAAACATGAAGCAAGACGTCTTGAATGCTTGTGGACATAGGGATGTCTTGAAGATGTTTACAAAAATTTCCCACAGAATTCGTTTCTCATTCAATTTAGAAGTTACTGGAAACCATTTAGAACAAATATACCTAAGCCACTGTATAAAGATACAAAAAGCATAGCAAAAAGTGATCAATATTTTATTATTCTCGGCTCTTGTAGGAAATCTTTCACGAAAGCAATTCCACCACTGTGTAGAGATACAGGGTGATATTTGATTATCTCTGGCTCTTGATTTTCCTTTATTTTTTTATTCTAAATTCTTATTTTTGGTTTGGCTCTTGAATTTTTCCATTCCAAGTTCTTTTGTCTGGACTGCTTATGTCTTAAAGACGTTGTATATTACAAAACCCAAAGTCTTCAAGAACCTCTTTAGGACATTATTCAACTAAGACATTCTAGAGACTTAACCAAATTCCCTAAAGACACGACTTTGACAAGATGTTTTAAAGGCATAAAACATCATACATTCATTTTTAGGTCCGGCTGTACCAACTAAATAGTGGTTCAGTTGAAGTCTATAAGTACCAGGTTCCTACTTGATTTTTTTCCATTTAAAATGCGTTGATATCAAAAAATGTATGGTTTATTTTTTCCAAGATAGAATTTGACATTGTCAACTTTGAAACATAAACAATGCCGCTATTGCCGCTTATTGGTCGCTATTGCAAAACTGATGTCAACCTGCAGAAACACCTCATTTTGCGACCAATCAGGGTCAAGCGTTATTGTTTATGTTTCAAAGTTTTCAATGTCAAAATCTATCTTGGGAAAAAATAAAGTGTAGGTAAAGTGCGTTTTTTTTTTAAAGATAAAAGTCAAACTAACATTAGGTTGGCAATACAATGTGAAATTGTCAATGCTTTCAAATTTTTCATGTAGAAAAGGCTTGTGTTGCCAACATAGTTACTAAATTTTTGACTTGGGGAATTATCTTTAAAAAAAAACAGATTTTAGATAACACTTTGACGGATTTCTGACATTGATGTATTTTAATTAAATAGGAGAGATCAAAGAACAACGTCTTTTATTGGTACCTATTCAAATGTTCAGACGTGGTAATCACAGACTTAAAAAAGACGCCTTTAAGACTTTGTGTGCTGTCTGAGCTGGAAATTTCGTGTTTGTTCTGGAATATAGAGGCATTATTGATTGGATAGTTTTGTTTATAGAGCCAAACTTTGAATGAAGTAATATGACTCTTTGAGTAGGTTTTTGTAATTTTATACATTTTTGCCTGAATATTTTTCCGAGTAAAGGAAGTTAGTGGGGGTTCATAAAGAGCGTTTTATTATCTTTGTAAAGCTCTTTTGATTTTGTAGATGTTAAGATTGAGTAATTTTCATATTTTTCTCAAATTTTATTAAATTTTTGTCTGTTCCCGGCTCTTGAGTTTCTATTTTCTCAAAATTTCTCTAAATTTAAAGAGCCTGGAATTTCCAGTTATTCAACATGTTGAAAAATTTCCAGATCAAAGTAGATGATGAGCAGCTTTAGCCACTTCTTCTCCAGACTCCAGAGGGTCCTTATTCTCGAAACAACGTTTTGCCTTTTCGCTCATAACACTGACAAAGACAGACCAATCGTTCTCATGGAGAACACTGCTCCTCGGTTTTGAGAATAAGGACCCTAGGCTATTGGGACATGATTAGGACTCTGTAACGAATAATACAGATATTTTCTCTATCTCTATTGTCGTCCCCTCTCTATTGATTTCGAAAAGAGAGAAAAAGATACCAAGTGCCATAACGATGGGGATAACGATCTCTATATCCGTTGATAAGTACCATGTCCCAGCCGATTACAATCAAAGTAGGTATATTATATTATAAACAAATACAGGGTGTCCCATGCAGAGAAAACAGTCCACCCTGAAAATCTTTGAAAATTCAGACTCGACATCCATATTTCTTAAGAACGAGCCGATAAAAATAAAAAACAAAAACAGGGTCATGTAGAGAATAAAATTACCTTCTTATCAATAAGGTATCACTCAACTTCTCTCTCCATTTAAAAAATTCATACTTTATTTCCAAATATTTTCAGGGTAAACTGTTTTCCCTGAGACACCCTGTATACATGAAACTTTATTGTATTTTAATTTATATAATTAAACTCTGATTTACTACTTACTAGAAGGTCAACATCTAGGTGTAAATATAACTTGAAAATAGGTAGGTAATTAAGATTATTTTATTAAAAACTAACTTAAACAAAAATAGAATTCTATTTATCGATTTATCAAAAAATGTTGCTACTTGAAAAACTCACTTTTTAATGTTATTTTATAATTACTATCAAATCTTATGTTATAATGCTTTAATTAACTATTGTTTTTATTTAGCAATAATTATTAAAATTATGTATTTTCAAATCTTGTGCATCAAAATAGAATTCTATTTATCGACTTTTAATGTTTTTGACAGAAAGGAAAAGAAAAAAGAAGAATCCATTTTGCAGTTTGGAGTTTGGCCATTTCTATTTTTCCCGGTTTTTTCTTTTTGTGGGGTTGTTTTCCAGCTACTCCTCTTTGTTAATTAACTTTAAATTGAGCCCCGAATTAACGCAGTCAAGGTAAGTGGTTTGCATTCTCATTAAAACCGGTTTGAAATGTTTTAAAAGCCCCCTAAACCAACAACAAAAAAAAAAAAAAATTTGAGGTTATGTTTTTGTTGTAAATATATTGAAAATTGAAACTTTTTTGGGTCCCAAATTCAGTATAAATGTAGGTACTATTTATTCACAATTTATAGTAAATTTACTTCAACGTAATACATATAATTACCTATTGAGTTAAGGTTTATGATAATCAAATTGAAAATTCCCAAAATTGAGAAAAAGCTGGGTGTTTTTTATCTTCCAGGTAACTTTGAATTGAGCCCCAAAGGTAAGTGATTTGTGTGTTCATTGAAACCATTTGAAAAGCCCCTCAAAAAGAAAAAAATATTTGGAGTTATGTTTGCATTTTTGGGCCCCAAAAGTTACATCACAGAACAATTACATTTTTAATTAAGGTGTCGATGTGCTTATTTTCCAATTATAGAATACTTACCCCAAGAAAATGTTGAGGCTGATAATCAGAATTTGAGCGGGTAACAACAACTGGTGACAATATGTCATGTGCAAATTTTATTGCATCTCTGACATCACATGACATTATTTGGTACTAATAGGGCATTATAGCATTACCTACAAATATAATGGAATTACTCTTGTATTCAAAGAAGTTATGGTTGATTTTTAAGGTTTTAAAGTGCAATGAGTCTTATCAAGTACAGGGTGATCCAGTTTGTATAAAGTGAACACCCGCCCTACTTTTCTGCTGGAAAACTTATTACTATTTAAATACACTATTTCTAACATTAATAAAAACAACAGTTTTAGTAACACCATTTGATAACACATAAACAAAGGGTTTGTGTGCCTCTTGATGGACATTTTAATTTAAGTTTGACTGCATCTTGGATAGTCTAATACGTCATGTACAAGGTGTTATAAAGTACCACCCCTATAACTTTTCTATTTTTGATCGTTCATAAAAAAGTTATAGCTTGGTACTTTTAGGGATGTAAGCCAATTTTTCTGTCATTTTCATGTCACAGTCCTCATAGTCAAAATGAAAACGACAGTGACGTCATTTATTTTCATGACACTCTTGTCATTTATTTTGTTATTGAATAAAACTGTCAAAATCAATGACCTATTAACACAGATACCTAGACAGAACAGTAAATAATAATATTGGTTGACTACATCCCAGGAACCGCATCTCTCCCCACTATTTATTAATCCTTGTGTTATTTTGTATCTTTCTCTAACACGTGGAATGCGATTATTTTTCAATGAAAATTAGCAACGCTGCAAGAAAATAAATTCCACCTCGAATTCCACCTTTCCACCAATCAGCGGCTTCTATTCAATTGTCATGTCAATATGCGACCTACCTGTAGTTTATGACAATTTCCATTTGTCAATCAATGCGCACTGAGTGTATCCGCATCTTTTTCTAAAATCATGTAAAATATAAGGATAAGGATACACTTTTGTAGCACTGATTCTGGTTTCATTTTCAGAGTTGCCAAGTATGCGATAGTAAAGTGGGGGCGGAGTTACCGGAATCATTTGAATCCCTACTCCTTGCCGCTTTCACAACTCACCCCTCCTGGCCCATAAACATGTAGTCAACCAAAACAAAGCTATTTTATCAATGGGATGTTCTGTCTATCTGTGTTAATAGGTCATTGGACAAAATAATAACTGACCATCATTAAAATACATGTATAACTGTCATTGGAATATATGACAGTGTCATAAAAATATCAGCTGTCCTTTGAATTTTACTGTCAATGGAGGAGATTTAAGCTGTACTTGCTAACTCATTAGATGACTTTGATGCTGATTACTGTGAAACTTAAGAAGAACTTCAGTCAACCAATCAGATATTTAATTATTAACCTAAGTTATGTTATGTTCTACATTGAAGGTGAATGACCATAAATGACAATGACAAAAATGACGAAATAATACTGTCATTGTGTCACCTATCACAAAAAATAACTGATCTTCATTTTACATCCCTAGGTACTTTATAACTTGACACCTGGTACAAATTTTATTGCATTGAGGTGGCATTACTCTGGCACCACGTGACATTATTTGGTATTAACAGGGATTACGCAGGCATTACATGGCATTACGTATGAATATCATGGAATTACTGTTGCATTCAATGGAGTTACGGTTGATTTTTGAAATGCAGTGTGTCATATTAAGTACTGGATGATTATACATATTTTGCACCCACACCTATCTCACCTGTTTGAAAAGATACCCAGAAATGTTAAATGAAAGTTGTAGGTAATATCAGAAACTTAGCAATCAAGTTAGCTATAGGTATACAGGGTGTATCACAAAAGTGTGGTGAAGCAAAGTTAAACTTTTTTAAATCGAACACCTATTGACCCATTGGATTAGCCTTTCAAACCTGATTCCAAATATACTAGGTCTTTTAAGTTTATTCCTGACAGTCCAGGAGAAAATAAGGAAAAAAGGGGTGGAATAATTGCATTTTTATTGAAAAGGTAAAGGATAGAGGGATAGAGACCACCAGCAAAATATAAAGGTAATCATTCAAGTGAAAAATCCATATTATTTTTTCACAATGGGATTTTCAGAGGCTGGACTATGAGGAATAAACCTAAAAAATCTAGTATATTTAGAATCAGGTTTGAAAGATTAATCCAATAGGTCAATAATATATAGGTCTTTCCATTTAAAAAAGTATAACTTCACTTTACCACACTTTTGTGACACCCCCTGTATACTTGTAACTAACTTCATTGCAAAGTTTTTGATATTATTTACAACTTTCACGTTTGATATTTCAGGGTATCTCTCCAAACAGGTGAGATAGGTGTGGGTGCAAAATATAGACAATCACCTGGTACATACTATCAAAACATACTCATCTTATCAGCCCTCGTATCAATAATTTTGTTGGAATTTGGAGTTAAGGTAAGTAATGTAAATACCGAGGTAAATACCTTAATTTTATGTAGGTATTAATCAAGTAGGTATGTATTATTAACCCCTCAAATTTTCCTTACATTCACTGAAAGATCATATTGTATTACCAACTCCAATATTTAAAATATTTTTGGGTAAGTTTGGGTAGGTATCTATAAAATGAAAATAAGTTTACATAAGTACAGGGTGTCAAGTTATAAAGTACCACTATTTACACTTTTTTATTTTTGATCCTACATAAGGTTACAGGTGGTGGGGTGGTACTTCATACCTTGACACCTGTTACCTATTATACATGCAGGGTGAATTAAGAAAAAGTTACAGTAAAATATGTATTTGTTTCAAAACTAACTTATATAATTCCCAGAAATTCCTCACAATTTGAACAATTCTTTAGTGATTCCTAGTAATTTCCAGTGATACCTATCAATATTTTCTCAAAAATAGCCATAGTTATATGTACTCTAAAATAATAGTTCCACTAATATTCAATGATAGTATTAGTGGAATTAAATATGATTACATTAGCGAGGCATTACCACTTAAAATGTCGCATTATGTATGACTGGCATTACATTGGAATTAATTTGTATGTATTACTAATTTTGGTCCAGTTGTTACCCCTTTCCTCATAATTTACCTACCTAATTTTGTACACCTAAAATTCTAAAAAATGCTAATTTCCATAATAATCTGAAATTTTTTGAGAATGTTCCCAGGCCAAAACTCTCCTTGTACTCCTTTCTATGGCATTAAAAACACCATTCTGTCTTACAGCAGAAGCGCAGGATTTTTCTATTTGTGATCTGTTCACCTTGAAATCTTCCAATAAAACACAAAATTTTGGGGTTGTCTTATTCTTAACAGTAATGTATATTTCGCTTAAACGTTACAATCTCAATAACAAATTACATGGTTACTCTATTAGTAGTGAGTGATTTTTAGCCTATAAGAATAAGTTCCTATTTATTAAAGCACAAGGAATGTTTATTGAAATGCAGTAAAGCAAAATTAATTTTATCCTGGAAAATTGTTTCATTTCAAAGCCGGTTCACTTAAATGTAGGCACTTACGTAAATATGTAATTTGAATTGATTAAAATAATGGAATATTATTAAGACGATAATAATTAACAGCTGCACCCTATTACTTGATAACAAAATAAAAAAGTAGAAAATCTGTTGCTAAACAAAAACACAACAATTATTAATATTTAGAATGTTTATACTTAATTGGTATTTATGCAATAGCAATTTTGTTGTTGCTATACATTATTATTTTGTGTCACCCTGTAATTGAAATTAGCTGAAGCCGCTAAGAGAAGAGGACAATTTTAAGGCCCTCAGGATTAATTGTACAAAATATTTATATAAGCATTATTTTATGAAAAGGCACCGCGTATACTTTGTAGGAAAACTTAAAATCAAGCATGTATTTTTACACAATGAAACAAGTCATGGACGTCAATTGATCATGCTCGAAATCGGATTAAAACGCATAATTTTGCTGAGCAAAATCCACAACACCGACGTCATAACGCACAGCATCACGCCGCCCCAACCCAAATCCAAAGACCAAGAAGTGGTGAAAGTGCGGGCGGGCAACAAAAGGCCCACCCCTCGGCCACCCATGGGGCTCACCACCCCATCTACTGTGCCTTCGTGGATTTCTGCGTGAGGCTTGATGTGCAGACGTTTGAAGTGGATGATTGTTAGAGTGAATAGGGCAAATGATGCTGAAAATTATTGGTGAATATAAATTTTGTGATTATTGGTTGATTTACCTGCTAGCAAATACATGACGCCTGTGACTAAGACTGCACTGATTTGGTGCTGGAACACCCCAAAAGCGCCCACCAAAGCGGCGCTGCCTAGGATTATGAGACATACAAGGGCGCAGGATATTGATAGATTTTGCATTCCTAAAAAATTACAATTTTGAAGATTGATTTCATAGAATAAAAACAACTTACGATGTTGCCAATCTGCCCTAAGTTCGTAGCCTCTAAACCCTTCAGAAGCTCCAGACAAGTAATTGATGCAAGGTTGTACTGATGGGAATCCCACGCGGCCTAAAAGATCGATTTCTTCTTCTAAAAATAATAATTAGTTTCATTATAGTATGAGGTAGAATTATTACCAGTTAAACTGAGACATAGTGTCCAAATACCGCCATGCATCGGCACCAGAAAAGCTATCGTCCTGTCCCGGATGTCGTTGGTTGAAACCCGGGCTACGGTTCTATCAAGCAACCATTGCAACCTGACGGTACTGTTGGCTAAGTACTCAAGTTTGTCCATGTCCCAGGTGACTTCTTCCCAGTGGTCGGTCATTATGGCAGCGCACAGCATTCCGGTCGCGCAGGTCGTTAAAACTAGAGTACCTAATGACAGTTTTGATGGTATATAATCTTCGAAAATGGTAACTTTTCAATAATTCAATCGCCCTCGTATTTTTTAGAATTTTCAATATACCAATGGTGGCCCATTCTTTGATATTCCAGTAAATAATAATTATTCACTTTATTGATTGAATAACTTTTTATTGTAACGAAGTTACTATTTTTTTTAAGGCCGGTTTACATTTTGCGGACTATTTCGGAGACGCGCACATATTTTATAAATATTATAATAGCTCAAATAATTAAATAAAATATTTACGCAGACCTTATAATTAATTATTATAAAATAAAGAAAAAAAATAGTAACTTCGTTACATTATTAATTAGAATGCAGAAACATGATACAAAAAATGTATGATAATAATAATGATATGACAACTTCCTTGGCACGTCATGTCCTGCACACAGTGATGGTAGCTGGTAATGCTTTGAGAACAGAATTGCAGTATTTTACAACTATTTTAGACTTTAGACACCCTGTATATTTATATCAGTATAGAAAAAGATGATAAATAATCAGAATCAGTTACCTAATAGGAAAAAAACGCTCGGATGAACGCTACAATTCCAGCCGGCGTCTTCAGCGTCGTCCGAATTGACGTTGCCGTCCATCAAGAGCGGCGCGTAGTCCACGATGAGCAGGTCGTACTGGCCGAAGGGTACTTTGGGCGGCGGCGCCCGCCAATTTCCGAATCGCGCCAGTCCTGCTCTGTAGGGTGGGTGGGGCCTCAAATTGACTTTTCGACCTACGATTTTAAACACCAAATATTGTGTTTCAAAGTATGTATTAAAAAACAAACGAAGATCTTACATATACAGGGAGTAAATTGAATGATTAACAATGTAAATATACAATACAATACAATAATAATATTATAAGAAACAAGAATCAAGGTTGTATTAATTCCATGTACAAAAGATGTTCGTAATAACTAGATAACAAAGTATTTTGAACTTGATTTCAAACTTAAAGAATGTGATGCAGAAGGTACCTACCTTATGATCAGAGATCTTATGATTTAGATTTTGCAAAACTTTGAAAGGTCATAACTTTTTTTCTATTATAGATAGAAAGCTGAAACTTTCACTGAATTTTATCCCAATCAAGGGACTACAATCCCTGAAAATTTCAGCTCATTTGCACTTATAGTTCCTGAGATAAAATCGTGTTAAGCAATTTGGGGTGATTTATCAATTTTTCAATTTTTCTGAGTGCCTTTTTTCATAGATTTCGGCTTCAAATCTGGGAATAATTTAGTATATGAAGTTCGGGGGATATCAAATGACCATAAGGACACAAAATTTCAACAAAAAAAATATTGAAATTTCATCGTTTTAGTACCTTATGATGGAAAATTTTAATGTCTGAAGAAATCAAATCCTGAATATTTCCTTCTAATTTGAAATTATTACTCTTCTGGAGATTTTTATGTGACAAGAAAACCCTTAAATTCTTGTGGCGCCACACAGCTATCTTCGGCTCCCTTATTCCCTCGATTTCGCAACTTGCCCTTCGACATAAATGTTTTAACCCCAACTGGAAAAAATCCTTGTTTACTAAGAAAATGTGTTTTATTTTCCTATATAGCCATTAACCCAGTTGTGTTGTGTTTATTATAGAGCTTATAGAGAGCATTAACTTGGAGTACATAGTCCTAGATTTCAGTGTCCTACTTTAGTTTTCAGAGCGCAAAGATAATTCAGTTAATTTTATATTGAATTTCAATATGAAAAATATTATTCTGGCCTGTCACAAAGGGTATGTCCCAAACTGTTACAGTTTCGTTGCCCCAGCAATATTTCATTTCAACCCCTGGGGGAAAAATCAATTTATAAAACGGCAACAATTATTTTTCCTTGTGCAGATGTTTGAGTAATATACTTCTAAAATTTAGTAATCCCTTGAGGCCCTCTAAAAAACCATTAGGGTTCTATGTAGTTGGAGCAAAGCCAAAAAATTTTGTCTTTGGAAAAATGAATAAATTGCTGGATATTTTTAGACATAGATTTTTTGTGTGCAAGCAACAGACAGAGACACTTACCTTAATTACCACCGTCCTTTTTGTCCACCTACGAAAATAAGGGACGCATGCAACATTTCCCTTGGGATCGGAGGCTAAAATTAGTTAGTTGACGTCTGTGTTAATTTGCAAATTGATGAGGCTGTTTTGTAGGCAAGATGATACTGTAAAAAAATAATCAGGATATAATTCAAAGATTTTAAAAAAAAATAATGAATTTAGTGATTTTCTTATATTGTATCAGAGAATAATAATTTAGTGGCGTGTTCCTTATTTTGTCCTCTCTTTATTGGAATATATCCAGTATAAAACCGATATATTCCAATAGAAGCAACAGTTTGGGTAATTTTTCATATTTCGACAGGGTTTGAGTCAATGGGATTTTTCATAAAGGTTGGAAATTTCACATCTAAGAACTTGGAAAATTGGAGAGGTTGGAATGGAAATGCAATTACCTAATTTCTCTCAAATTTTTCTTCTATTTCGCATTTTTTCAGTAGCAATTTATCTTTATTCCAGGCTCTCTATTATAATTGAAATTCTGCTGTTTTACCTGCATCATCACATCAGCATCTAACTTAACCTATTTAACCAAAAACAAGACAATAAAATATTGGTAGTTAAACAAAAACAGGGTTTTTCTCGAAAAGGACGTGAAATAAATAAATAGTTATTTACATTCCAAACTGCGAAAGCGTACTTTTAGGTGCGATATGGATTGTTGCGGAACTTATAGGTGGACCTCTGCGGGACGAGCGCAGCGAGTTCCGCAGCCATCTACTTACCAATATACTGTTGAACTGTTCAAATGAGACACTCACCTGAAACGTGTAGTTTTTCAACTAATGAGAAAAATTCACAATTGAGTGAATCAGGTTAGTATTGTACTTGAACAACATATTGCTGAATAGATGGCTGGGTCCACCTATAAGTTCCGCAACAATCCACTCGTTTGTACTTGAATAACTTGTCACAATATATTACTAGTTTGGTAAAGTAACATTACTAATTCCTGTTAAAAGGCAAATTGAAAAAAAGTGGATAATCTTACAAATTCTGACTTTATATAATAAGTTATTGTTCAAGTACAAATAAGTAGATTATTGAATAACTTATGGGTGGACCTCTGCGGGACGAGCGCAGCGAGTTCCGCAGACCATCTACTCACCAATATATTGTTGAATTGTTTAAGTAATCTGAAACGTGTAGTTTTCAAACTGATGAAAATAACTCACATTTGAGTGAGTCAGGTTAGTATCGTAATTAAACAACATATTGATGAATAAATAGCTGCGGAACTCGCTGCGCTCGTCCCGCAGAGGTCTACCCATAAGTTCCGCAACAATTCATTCATTTGTACTTGAATAACTTGTTACATTATATTACTAGTTTGGTAAAATAACATTACTAATTCCTGTTAAAAGGCAAATTGATAGAAAGTGGATAATCTTACAAATTCTGACTTTCTATAATAAGTTATTGTTCAAGTACAGGGTGTTTTTTTATGTGTTGATACCTCACCTACAGCCTTCACCTTTACAAGTAGGTAGATGAAAGCTGTAAATACAGAAAGTTGTACAGTATTGGCTAAATTTTAAGAATACATAGTCAGAAACAAAAATTGAATGTCAGAAATGTGAAATGTTGCATGCTTTCAGCTTTTTTCAAATGCGATGCCCTATATTTGGTTCTTGAAGAGCATAATTTCTCGATTCCAAAACTATATAGTTTGTCTGTATTTGGTTGAGCCGTCTCCAACATATTTGGTTCTAGAAATTTTAAAAATACTATCACAGAAACCAAGTATCTCAAATTTTACCTGTAGCTTTCACCTGTACAGGTAGAATGGTTCACAAAATCAGTAGTAGGATAGTATTTTTACAATTTTTAGAGCCGAATATATGAGAGATTGTTCAATCAAATATAAACAAACTATATATTTTTGGAATCGGGGCATTTTGCTCTTCAAGAATATAGAATGAAATATAGGGCATCCCATTCGAAAAAAGTCGGAAGTATTCAAAATTTCACATTTCTGACATTCAAAGTTTGTCTTTGTCCATGGTTTCTAAAAATTCAGCCAAAACTGTACAACTTTACACCTTTCTTTTACCTGTAAAGGTAAAGGCTGTAAGTGGGGTGTCAATATATAAAAAAACTTCCTGTACGTTGTTGGCAGAGATGTGAACCAATAACAACAGATTATGAATGTGAAATTGAATAGATTATGTGGTTATGATAACAATCTTTGCATCAACATTGAAAAATCTAAATTTTGTGTGTTTGGTAAAAGATCAAGAATAAGGGATATTGATGAAGATAATAGAAACATCAACATGAATAATGGAGCTTTGGCACATGAAAACCAAATCAAGTACTTGGGGGTAATTTTAGATTTCCAGGCTTATGCTGATTATGTTATGAGAAAATTTTCCAAAAACGTTGGTTTTCTTTCAAGGGTGGAAAATAGTTTGTCGATTGCCACAAGCATAATATCATTGCACTACCTCATTTACAGTTTTGTTTCACATTTTTGTATGTATGGCCTGTTTTCAGGGTAGAGCAAATCCAAAAAATACAGAACACTATGAGTATGAGGGTTATTCTGAAATGCAATCGATATACTAGCTGCTATTAGGGTTATCTTAATTTTTTCAATGTGTTGTCTGTTAGACAGAAGATTATTTTCAATGTATATACAAAGCACTTTTAGGACAAAATCACATAATTTTGTGATGTTTAGGGCAATTTTGGACATTTTCAAATAGAAACATTTCCATAAGGGTCTACAATACAATTTATTGGAATCTTCTGGTATATATTTTATTTTTTTTCATTTGCCTATAACTTTTTATGAAATCTTGACTACCGAAACAGGATCTATATTAATTTCAGAGAAATTTCAATTGGAAATTACTCGAAAACTATAAATTTACCACGAACTAATTATACAACTACAAATCAATCTATAATTATAGAGCTTTAGAGTGGAATGTCATTGATATGTACCAACTTATATTGTTCATTGTCTATTAATCAGGGTTTTCATACAAATCAAATTTCTACAGGGCATCTTTGAGGCTCAAAAAGTATTTGAGCAATCAAACTCAATTTGGTACAGATTTATAGGGAATTCAATGCTCTCACGAATGGTGTATAACTTATTTACCGAGATCCCCATACTTATTTGTAATATCCTGTATTCTGCAAATGATGAAATTATAAAAAAACTATATAGGTTTTGCAAGATAGAGCGATGCGTATGCGTATTATGCAAAAATTATTATGTGTGAAAAATTTAATGTTATATCTTGTTTTTATCTTTATTTACAAAATTATCCATAATTTACTTCCAAGTTATTTACGAGATTATATGACTTAAAATTTAGATAATCATGACTATTTTACCCCTAATAATACAAATTTTCATCTGAATAATGGTTCCAAGAGTTCAACATATAAATCTATAATAATTTAAGTAAATTAATAAAAATACAGAAATCATTTTAACATTGTAGCATATTATTGTTTGTTAAATGAACGCATTTATTATTATTATTAAGACATTGAGAGAATCGCAATATGATTTGAAAATGTTGCAAAATTTCAAAATCGATTACTAAAAAATCCCACTTTGTTTATTATTAGTATGGAAATTTTTATCCTAATTGCATCATACAGTCAGTCCAGTCTTATCAATCAAAGAAGCGTAAATAAAATAAAATTACGTATTACCAAATTTCACTATAGTGTTTTGTTGTCAAGAAAAAAAATTACGTCTTACGTCTTACGGCGTCGACGTTTCCCGAGGCCGCACGTTTCCACACTGTGGAAAATTGGTTTTTTCCCAGTAGACCCACCATGCGCTGCCTTTCAATTAGAATCGCAACATTGTCAAGTTTTGTCTGGAAAAATTTACAAAATAATTGGATAATCCAAAGAAGATGAACTATAACAATTTTATTTGTATTTAATTTATTCAAATATCCTCTACATCTTGCATTCATAGAGAATGTCTAAAACTAACCAACAATCCTAACATTCTCCTTAAATAAAATTATTTTACTTTGAAAAATCTCACAGTTTGTTTTATTGATTATATCACACATTTTTACTATAGTTGAGGTAAACTGCCTATTTGTTCTTGGTGTATCATAAGTCAATATCTGTGACTGTCTAGTTCTCAAATCTGGTACATACTCTTATATTTATCAGGCTCAACAGATATTCATCTTTCACATGATAATGAAGAAGTTTATACAAAAACATTACGTTAAAATATTTTCTTCTTACATCTAACCTACTGTAACCATGTTAGATACACAACACATCAACTAGGTAAACCCCGAAACATATGGGTCCCATACAACTGCAAAAGTTTCACTGTAGAAATGCCCATATCTTTTGCGTTACGATAGATAAACCCTATAATCTTAAGTGCCTCACCCACTATTTTGTCTACATGATCATTACAGCTAATAAAACTGTCATATAAAACACCAAGGTCTCTAATTGAGTTTTCCTCATTCAACTTAATATTGTTTAAAAATTAATTATATTCTACTTGATTTTGTCTATTTTTTTCTGTAAATTTCATTGTAAAACACTTTGATACATTAACTGCTAACTTGTTATCCACACTTTGTAGATTGATATTTCTTATGCTTCTATATATTTCAATATCATCCGCATAAATTAAAATGTTTGAATGCTCAATCATTTGCACTATGTTGTTTATAAATATAATAAATAACAGTGGGCCCAAATTTGACCCTTGAGGTATTCCTGATGTAGACTTGTAGGACTTTAACTTATAATTGTTATGAACAACAATTTGTTGATATTTATGCAGAAAAGACTAATCAGTCTAATTAAGACCTATGGCAAATTCGCCTGTATTAATTTATCAATTAGTATTTTTCTATTGACTCTATCAAAGGCCTTTTCAAAATTCAGGTAAGCCACATGGACATCTTTGATGATAGTTCTTTATAAAAAGGTGAAAAATATAAAAAGGAAATGGATAAAGTTGAAGCCATTTATACAGGCCAGAGAGACAATGAGCTATTTATTCACTTGATTACTTTGATAATTTTCCCATTTTTTTTTAAATATTTCAAGGAAAAATCGGCAACCCTGTCCAAATACGTCCACGTCGATAACCCTGTGTGAAAAAAAAAAAACAAAATAAGGGATTTTGCCCCGGCGGCGACACGGAGGGTTGAAATTATTATTATGGACGATATTTGCTGAATCAATTTTAAACATTTTAATGTATTTGCAAAAACGATTTATTTACAATAAAGCATTTTTTTGTTGTCCGCATTCCTTTGAATAAATTTACTTAAGAATCTTATTTAGTTTGCAATTTACTATTGTACGAGAAACTTTAAATTGAAAATTCCTTTTTATTTTGCCCAGATGACGACCGAAGAAGTCAAAAATCCAGAATGCGAAGATGCCCAAGAATTATTTGGAATAGGTCAGTGAAATCCATTAAAAATATCCATAAAATAACCAAAAAATTCCATCATTTACAGGTGTCCGAGCATTTGTCCTTCAAGACTACAATCAAGCAGCTGAAGTCTTAAGCCGAGCCCTCGAACTTTTAGTACAAGAACACCAAGACAACTTGCACGAATCTTTGGGCAAAGTTTACTTGGTTTATGGTAAAGCTTTGCTGGGCTGTTCCAAGACAACCATTCAACCGCTGGGCGAAAAAATAAAGGAAAAGGCCAAAGAAAATGGCGAAGCTACATCAGGAGATGAAGATGAGGAAGCTAATGAAAATGGCGAGGCACATAATTCTGAGCCTGAAGCTGATGATAATGATGAGTCTGTTGAACCAGGCCCTGTAGAGAATCCTGAAGAAGACGAAGATGATTTGGAAGTAGCCTGGGAAGTGTTAGAGTGTGCCAAGAAAATTTTTGAAAAGCAAAACGACAAAAAGCAACTAGCTGAAACTTTGATTGCATTGGGCGAAGTATCACTAGAAAGCGGTAATAATGAATCAGCTATTGAAGACATAAAACAAGGCCTCGAGTTGCAAAAAGAACTATTACCCAATGATAGTAGGGCAGTGGCGGAGACTCTATACAAGTTAGGAATGGCTTATTGTATTGAAAGCAACATGGACGAAGCTATTAAAAATTTTCAAGCCGCTCAACAGTATTTGAACAATAGGATTAAAACATTGGAAGAGGTTAATACAATTCAATACGTTTTGCTGTTGTTTAATAAATTTTTTTTTAGACTGAAGTCCAAACTGATGATATACGTGAAGAGATTGAAGAGATTCGTCAGTTAATGCCAAACATTGATGAAAAGATTGAGGAAATGCAAGTCTACAAGAATGAGGTATGTGTTTGTAAAGAGATTGTTAAACATTATGTGTGTAAAAAAGCGGAAAAACCAAAGAATGAAGAAGTTGCAGGCAGCAAAATTAATCGAATCGCTTTTCGGAGAAAAGATAAATCTGATTCATGAGTTTTTTTGGTTTGTTTTAAATCCAATCTTTTGGGTTTAAATATCAACTCGTATGTGTGTTTTTGCTATTCACTACTACATTTTTAAAAGGTAAAATTCATACACTCATAATAATTGTTGATTTGTTTTTGTATTGCTTGGCTTTTTTTTTTAATAAAATTATAATTTTTTGGTTTTATTTTTTGTTTTGTTTTTGCCTTGTGATTGTTTGCTTTTTGTTTAAACAAAGGTTTGTTCTAAGGATTCTAGATGGTCCAATCAACTTACATTTTGAGAGAAAAAATTGTTTATTGAGGAAGCTTATCATTAAGTTATGACTGGCACAGCATTGGTATCTTGACAATTACCTAATACTTGAACATAAATCCGGTCTGGTTCATTATACTATAATTTGTCTAGAATTGTTTTCAGTGTCATAGTTTTCAGATTTATTAATCTTCAAAGAGTCATAATCAAAGTTAGAATCTATTAGTGTATCTACAGGCTTAAACTCAGACATGCCAATATTTTTTAAAACACCCTTTAAATACTACAATAATGTGGTTTTGTCGATCCGAGTAGGTTTTCAATGTAGAATTTTCAATTGTTTGGGTAGGATCGGAAAAAAAAAACCGCAGAAGTCTGGTTTTTAAAAAAGTCGACGTTTCGCAAAATTTATTTGCATCTTCAGGAGCCTGTAATGATAAAAAATAAAAGGGTTCTTTACAAACTTAGATGATGAACTACAAAAATACAAAAGACAAACAAAAAACAGAGCTATCCTCCGATTTCGCACTACATTACTTGAATAAATATTTCATAAAAACAGAAAGAAAATAGCAGAATTACATGAAACCTTTAAATAAATTATACGTATATAAAAATATATATAGCTATATTGTAAGTGGGGAGAGTAGCATCATAAAACATAGAAAAAATACTTATAGTTAACAAAGGGTAGTGAAATTGACTTGATTACTTACATTTAAATTAGACTTTCCTTGTCATTGTTGTTTAACAGATTCACATAGGTATAGAGGTTTCTCGAAAACATAGTTGATAAAAAATTAAAAAAAACACACAATTACGTAGCACAACAATAACAATTTAAAATTTAAAAAAGCAAAAACAACAAACTTTACACACCTCAAATGAGAGATAAAAAAAAAAACAAAAATTAACCATTCATCAAACGGAAATGTTATTCAAAAATTAATAACATAAATTATCTTTATAAACTAAGCTTTTAGGACGCAATTGTGTGTGTATTAGAACAGCTACATACACGTACTGATTTTATTTAGCGTCATCATTAATAGGATGGGAAACAAAAAACTGAATACCACACATTCCAACGCTAATCTTGAGGGTTATTTAATTGTTGCTAATATATTAAAATATGCATTACTAAGATGTTCTATATCTGTTCTTTTGTTAACACAATTCTTATTTTTCTGGATCTCAATCATCTCCGCTATCAACCTTTTTTTTGTAATTGGATTGTGTTTGTAAAATTGTTGTATTGTCATATTCAAAATCATGTCCAGTTTCTACCTTATGTTCGACTAGAGCTGTTGGATTCGATCTTAAGAGGTAATTCTTCTGATCGTTTTTATGTTCTCTCAATCGTGTTTTTAAATATCTACCAGTTTGGCCTATGTAGCATTTATTACATTGGGAACAAGGAATGTTATAAACTACATTCGATTTATTTAGCTTTTCTGTGCTGGACTTAGTCTTGGAATAAAAGCAGTTCTTCACTGTATTCTGACTTTTCATCGCAATCTTAACTTTTTCTCCTCTCTTAGTCACCTGATCTTTGAATATGGTTTGTATTCTTTCGGACAGGTTACTAATGTAAGGTAGCTTACAGAACGTGAATGGTTCATTTTGTTTAGGTACTACTCTTGCTGGAATTGTTTTGTTAATAATCTTCTTAATAAGCGATACAGGGTAATTATTCTTAACCAACATGTTCTCTATGTACTTTAGGTTCCTTTCATGGAATTTCTCCGTTGAAAGGGATGTTGCTCTGTACTTAAGGTTATTAATGATATTAATTTTTTGTTTAAATGGGTGTTCGGATGAGAAATTAAGAAACCTTTCAGAGAAAGTAGGTTTGTGATACCAATCAGTTTCAATACTTTGTTCGTGTCTAATGAGTAGTACATCCAGAAATGCAATCCTATTATCATTCTCTTTCTCACAGGTGAACTGAACTCTAGGGTGGTAACTGTTAAATATGTCTAAGATGACTTGTTCTTGATTATTTGGGATTGACGTTATTATATCATCCACATATCTTTTATAAAAAGGTAATTTAAAAGGAAGTTTTTTTATGCACTGATCTTGAAGATCTTGCATCACTAAATCGGAACAGACTGGTGACAAACAGTTACCCATTCCTAAGCCATATATTTGTTTATAGAACTCTTCTTGGTACTGAAAATAACTGTTATCAAACACGAACTCCAACAACTCGATAAACTTGATCAAAGGAATTTTAACCTCATTTTCTATAAGATGCCACTTCTTCCTAACTATATTTACTACTACATCTGTGGGGATATTAGTGAAAAGTGAGATGACATCTAGTGAAATAATTTCATAATCATTAGGTATTTTGACATTTTTTATATCTGCAACAAACTCAAAGGAATTACGAACATGACAATCGTCCTTGACATAGATACCATTTAACAGAGAGGCTAAGAATCCTGTCAGAATATACAAAGGTGAACCAACAAATGAAACAATTGGCCTTAAGGGTCTATTGTCTTTATGTATTTTAGGTTGGAAATAGATTTTAGGTGGGTGGGCTGCATTCGTTTTCAGTTTCCTTCCCTGCTCTTTATCTATAAAACCGTCCTTGATGAGAGATTCTATCATTTTGTTATTCTTGTTCTGAACTGAAATGGTTGGGTCTTTGTTAAGCTTTTTATATGTTGTTGTGTCCTCAAGCATATTTCGAGACTTGTCAAAATACTCTGCCTTATCTATGATGACAGTAGTGTTACCTTTGTCAGCTTTCAAAACCATTATATTATCTTTATTACTTTTAAGGAACTTTGAAGTTTGTTCTGCCATAACTAGAAGCTGCTGTCTTTGATAATTCAATGGTTTATTCGAGCGAATATAAAATTTCAAGGGATAATAAATAAACAGAGACCCACACATGACATAGTTGTTAATGATAAATGGATAGTTAACCATAGTAGCGTAGATATTCCTAGTAAGATTCAATATGTACTAAGTTTAGGTGACAAGTATAGTTTACCTTGTAATAATAGAGATCATCCAATTAAAGATTTAATCATAGATCTAGAATATATTCTGGATAAGTTCGATGATGAGTCTAAAATTCAAATTAGGAACCAATGTATTAATATTACGACCAATTATATTCGCTCGAATAAACCATTGAATTATCAAAGACAGCAACTATGTTTTCGAGAAACCTCTATACCTATGTGAATCTGTTAAACAACAATGACAAGGAAAGTCTAATTTAAATGTAAGTAATCAAGTCAATTTCACTACCCTTTGTTAACTATAAGTATTTTTTCTATGTTTTATGATGCTACTCTCCCCACTTACAATATAGCTATATATATTTTTATATACGTATAATTTATTTAAAGGTTTCATGTAATTCTGCTATTTTCTTTCTGTTTTTATGAAATATTTATTCAAGTAATGTAGTGCGAAATCGGAGGATAGCTCTGTTTTTTGTTTGTCTTTTGTATTTTTGTAGTTCATCATCTAAGTTTGTAAAGAACCCTTTTATTTTTTATCATTACAGTGTCCTGAAGATGCAAATAAATTTTGCGAAACGTCGACTTTTTTAAAAACCAGACTTCTGCGGTTTTTTTTTTCCGATCCTACCCAAACAATTGAAAATTCTACCTTTAAATACTGTTTTTGACTTGAAATAATCATCCCAGACTAGATTCTTATTGGAACAGACCTTTGCCTTATTCAACCCAAAACTCAAACTTTATTCTTTTAGCGTGAGAAAATTGAGAATGAGATAATCAAAACCATAACCGAAATGTCACAAAGAGAAGTCGGCAATAGCTCTACTGCTGCTGGTTCCAGTAGCGATATGGCAGGCCCCAGCACTAGCAGTGAATCCAGGCCAGTGAGTAACATCTCGCATTTGGTGAAACGAAAAAGAAAATCAGACGAAATGGACAAAGATAACAAATAAGGTTTTTTTTTAAAGTAGGTATTATTTATGATGTTCAATGTTATTTTTTGTACGGAAAAATTTGAAAGTTACTACTGTTGAATTAATTGGCAAAAAAGCCCATCAAATATTGATAATTTTCCCATTTCTGTAGTCTTTAAGTTTGTCATTAGATATAAGTTTTTTTTTACATACATACACAAGGGTATTATATTTTGGTTAACAAAATAAAATTTCCAAAAACTCATTGATAATAATTGTACAAATCAATCAAATATCTCCTTTTCGGCTTCTTTACGGTACCACAAAGAGGCGGCTGCTTGGAACACCCGGCAAATCAGGAAAAGACGCACAACTACAAAATCAACCAATTAATTAATTAATATTTGTATCAATAATTAGTCTTACACAAACTCGTTCCATAGATGAAAAGGGCTACACGAGGCAAAATCAGCTGGTTAGAATTACGGTGGGCCTTAAGAACATTGACCATCATGACTAGGCCTTTATATTGGTTGAAATAGAGGCTGTAGAGGCTCATACCTACCCATGGCAAACTCAAACTTAGAGTTCTCTATATCAAAATTATCATCTTATTATTTGCAATGTAAGAAGTTTTGATAAAATTACCGTAGAAATCCCTTTTTTCATCATCCAAGCCAAAAACATTAATATTAAAGCTTCCTGTACAGAAACTGAGTATGTTGTGCCTTAAAAAAACAATTTAAAACTTATTCCAAATATTTATTTATAAAACAATACCTTGAAGGTTTCCAGTAAGATTGACCCTACAAGCTTGAATACAAGCCTCACAAATCCATATAAAAGTCGAAAAAAGAGTCGAGCAAATCGGTTGACGATAAAGCCGCACACTGGAAGCCAATTCTAGTTCTTTACGTTTGCAAATGCCCTCTTTGCTCAAGGCCACGGTGACTTTACTTTTGCTGTTCATTTTAAATTTTGGGTTCTGAAATTAATTCGCACTTGACATTTTGACGCAATATGTTGACATGGTTGCAACTTGTTTTAGCATTAGGATACTTGATTGAGGTAAATAATAAGTAAATTAATTCAAAACTTTTTGTTTTATTACTTAATACATTGTATTGTAATTATTAACGTTTTGGGTTATATGGGTATAAGCTTTGGAAAGCTGCAGCATCTTGAGGAGTATCCTCGTCGCTTTCAGTTTCACCATCAGATTCAAAAGTATTGTCTGGAATGTCATACAAACGAATCATAGGCTTGTTAGGGTCCTTCATGATTAAATATTTGCCATCTTTTTGCTTCATGACAATGTCAATGATGCACCTGGAACAAGACAATTTATTAGAAATCTACAAGATTTGAAATGACAAAATATTACCTCAAAATCCCCCAAGCATTGTCCATATTCAAATTAATTTGAGTAGCAAACTCAGCAGGCTTGTATTGCTGAGTACCCAAAATAACATGCTTGCTGCTGTCTCGTACGTGAGCTCTGCTCACGTATCCAAATTTAATTTGATCACTTCCAGCTAGTAAAGCTTGGACAGTCCATTTGGCCAGCTTGCAAGCATTGTTGCGCAGCTCGTTGGCCAATACGGCTCCTCGTTGGATATCCAATTTTTGACGCCACTCTACTCCGTTGGCCAATTTCGAATCCCACTCGTTTAGGGCTTTGATGGTGATGAATTGAAGTTCACCACTGGGCGATTGGACCACTGCGTCGTGCTCGCAACGAGATACTAAAGTCTGCGGAAATAATTTGATTTTTTTTCATATTTTTTCTATTCCAGGTTCTTGATGTTTTTTTATGTCGACAAATTCAAGAGCCGGGAATGGGAATAAACAAGAATTGAGATGAAAAATTGAGAAAAAAGAAGAGATGTAAGAAAAGTATAGGGAAAGTATCTAGTATATAAGAAGGCACTAATTCTAGAGCAGTTTGGAGCATAGTAGAAGTCTTACTCTGACTCCAGAATCATGAATTATTACAGTGCATTCACAAAATACGAGCAAACTGTGCACTAGAGCAAGTTTCAAGTGATCGAATACGCGATAATAACCCTGGCACTTGTTCTAGAGCATGTTCGTATTACAAAATTAGTGAATAAGCCAATACATAATATGAATGTTTTTGAAATTGAATAAAAAGTTCAGAACAAAATTCTTTCTTTTTCGATAGAAAAACACTGTGATAACAGGGTCTCAGTCTTGAATTTTCTTTCTTTGAAGAAATTTAGAAGGAAACATAAAATCACAAGCAAGAACCTTGAATAGACAAAAAATGAAAACAAAATTTCCTCTTTTTCTATTATCTATTTTTCCTTTTGGAAAAAAAAACATAAATTCAAAAGCCTGGAATAGACCAAAATTGATTTGGAAAAAATTAGTGTTCATACTTACAATCCCACCTCCTAAATCCCATTTCTTGTACCGATAAGCAACGCTGGCAACCTCGCCTTCCTCCTCTTCAGACACAAACGGATTAGGTTCCTCAAACTTGTGCCTGGGCTCATTGGTGCCAGATTTCAGCACTTGCTGACTGAAATTGTGATTAATGAAAGTCGCCTCTAGTGCCAAATTCCTAGGCGAGTTCAGCGAATTGCCGTCATCTTGAGGGGGCTCCACTGAAGTCTCATTGACAGTCAGCAAATCGAATTCGGTATTGTCGCGCTTGTCAAAGAACAACTTATCGCCGATCTTTTCAATGACAATGTCCCAGGAGTAGTTGGAGCGGGTGCAGCACATAATCGTAGCCAAAATTGCATCAGTAGCGTAAACATTACCTTCAGATTTGGTTAGTTTACGTATAACAGGATCATCAGTAGTTGTAACAGTGTGGAAAATCCTATTGACACTTTGCAAAGGCTTCTCGTTTTTAACATTGACCCTGTCATAAGACTTGTCGTAATACTCAAGCTCACCACAGCAAACAATATCAGTGCCTTCTTTGATGTTGGGCAAAAACAACTTTCCAAGCCTTGGAAAGTCCATTTCTTCAATGGTACTCCAATCAGGCTTGACAGTGACTGAAGCGTCTCTGATTTTGATTTGCGGTCTTCCTTGGCCCCATTTTCTGACTTGGCCTCGCTTGTAGTTGTCGCGGGCTTTGAGGCCTTTGCCCAGGGACTGCATGCCTCCGCCTTGCATGTTGCTGCGTCCACCGCGACCTCTGAGGTTGCGCTGATTAGCACGGAAGCGACCTCTTTGGTAGGGAGGTTTCTGGACGCGAGTGGTGTCTACCAAATGGAAAGTGCTCTCGTCCTCATCGTGGTAGTAAGCATATTGACTACCGGAACCAAATTGAGATGCATATTTATCTGAAAGTTTAAAGTTTTGTACAGAAAATAACAAACAAAAATGAGAAATAAGGCGTTTATACAGAGAAATATAAAAGTTAATAAGCTTATGGAAATCCCTTAGGTTGTTTGTATATAAATATAAGACCTAAAAAAATTGATTAAGGCTGTCACATACAGTTTTGCATAAGCCCCAGCCAATCAGAGGTTGTATTAAAAATCAACTGATTTTCAGTTAACAATGTGGTTGGTGGGGACTTATGTGTCATGAAAAATCGTGTTTGACAGCCTTTAACTTTTATGTCTTATTTAATGTGAAAATGGATTTGCGCATTTTCCATTTAAAATTTAAGTTTGATATGACTCTTTTGTATTTGAGTTTGATAGATTTATACAAATCACGTGATAATTCTCTTGCAGCTGATTGGTTGGAAATTATTTCTTATGTGAGGGGTTTTTCACCTTGTTAATCGGTGTCAATACCAGGTAAATACTATGTCAATAGTGTCAATTCTATGCAATACCTACCTGTTAATTATGTAGGTAATATATGTCAATACTTGTAGATATCCAGGCAATATACAGGGTGGGGCATGAAAAACTTCCCACCCAGGTTTTCTCAGGTGTTAAGTAATTAATTAACATATCAATTTTTGTTTTTTGGGGGACACTTTTTATTGGTATTTTCATCCCCTACCTGTCAACCCCTAAGTGGGGGTGACAGGTACCCTCAAAAGTTCAAATGAAAAGGGGGGTCAACTGATACATCATTTGATAGCTATTTTCATTAAGATTATATCCCCGAAGTTTCAAGTTGTTATTATCTACCCTGTCGAAATGGCAGCTTGTCAAAGCTAGGAAAAATCAATGAAAAAATTGCTGTTTGGTTTCTATCTGTTACCTACGCATAGGTGTGACAGGTAAAAACTATACAGTTTAGATTAGGTATCGAAAAAAAGCATTTACCCTAACTTTGACTTGCCGCCATTTCGGCAGGGTGAAAAGTAGCAACTTAAAACTTTAGGGATATAATCTTAATGAAAATAGCTACCAAATGACATATCACTCGATCCTTCTTTCCATTCGAAGTTTTGGGGGTACTTGTTACCCCCATTTAGGGGTTCACCAGTAGGGGGTGTATAGGTTGTATATATTTCAGACTTAAAACAGAGTTTCATAGCGTTATCAAAATCTTAAAACTAGGTTACAATCAATTACAATTACAATTAATAAAATACTATATCACTTAATGGGTATATCACATCTGTATAAAAAAATTTAAACATTATAAAAGGACAGCACTAATAGTCCAGGAGGTGGCGCCAAAAACATGCAAGAGTTTTCGCAAGGCGGATATTTTCAAAATAGGTCGTAATTTAGTGCTAGAATGCTAGTGTACAGTCAGCACTCACAGTTCCGGGACAGCTGGCTCTGGGACGCGGGCAAAGTTGTAATTTTAAGAAGCATCTAAACTGTTTTCTCAAAGCTCAAAATTTATAGAAATTTTGCACATTATCTGTTTGAAGGTCACAGATAACGTATGTAAATCGTCAGACGTCTAGTTCGTTGCAAAAAGGGGGTCAGACGTCCTCAAAGTTTTTATTTTATGGCATTTTCTTCAAATATATTTGTCAAATACCTGCAAAAATATATTTTGACAGGACACCGAAGAAAATGCCATAGAATAAAAACTTCGAGGACGTCTGACCCCCTTTTTGCAACGAACTAGACGTCTGACGATTTACATACGTTATATGTGACCTTCAAACAGATAATGTGCAAAATTTCTATACATTTTGAGCTTTGAGAAAACAGTTTAGATGCTTCTTAAAATTACAACTTTGCCCGCGTCCCAGAGCCAGCTGTCCCGGAACTGTGAGTGCTGACTGTACACTAGCATTCTAGCACTAAAGTACGACCTATTTTGGAAATATCCGCCTTGCGAAAACTCTTGCATGTTTTTGACGCCAGCTCCCCAACTATAAGTAACTATGAACGGTTAAGACTATTCAAAACAAGTTAAAAATCCAAATCTGTGACCTGATATTGCAAAAATTCTTCTATTGAATAAAAGCACTTACTTAACAAGAATTGCTTGATTTTATTTTTAAATGGCTTTATTGGAATGTTTCGTATCGTAGGAGGCAGTTTGTTGAAAAATGCCGGTGCATAATATCGCGTTGCGCTCCAGGAGGTTTTTAGGCGTGAAAAGTCAATCTGCACGTTATAACGTTGGCGACTGTTGTAATTATGGACCTCTTCGGCACGAGTGTAGTTTGAAGAGTTACTATGAAAATATAGTAAAGACTCTAGGATATATTGTGCTGGAAGAGTTAATATTTTTAGATCCCTAAAGGATGGTTTGACATCATCTCGGTATTTGATGCCAGCTACAATTCTAACTGCTCTTCTCTGCAGACCAAAGATGCGAGAGGTATGACATGAGTGTCCCCATGCTAGGAGTCCATAGACGCTCACTGAATGAAATAGACCATAATATGCCATTTTTGATGTTTCTTTATCTACAATTTCCGATATATTACGAAGAACATAGATTGCAGAGCAAAGTTTTTTTGAAATAATGTTGACATGCTGCTCGAAAGTCAGCTTCACATCCAATGTAACTCCTAAAAATTTGATTTTTTCTGGGTTGTCTTGAATTGTAGTTTTCTTGAGAGAGAAGATTATGTTTTCTGTTTTACTTTGGTTGACATTCAGAAGATTGGAGTTGAACCAGTCAACAGCAGTTTCGACATGTCTCGTCATCTCCATTTTGGCAATGTCCAGTGTTTTGGCTTTTATGGAGAGTCCATTATCGTCCGCGTAGATAACAACCTGGCATCCGGACAGGGCAGCTGCAAGGTCATTTATGTATATAGGGAACAACAGTGGGCCCAGTACCGATCCCTGAACCACACCGTGTCTCATGACTCTCTCCTCTGAGCGCCTACCCTCCAACTCCGTGATCTGCCTTCGTCCCGAGAGGTACCCAAATATCAAATTCACGCTGAATTCACAGAGCCTGTAGTATTTTAATTTTTCTATAAGAATATCATGTGATACACAGTCGAAGGCTTTGGAAAGGTCACAGAAGGTGGTGGACACAATCTGCCCCTCCTCAAAGCCCCCAACTATGAAATCACAGAGCTTTAGTATTGCCCCAGTGGTGGTTCTGCCCCTTCTAAACCCAAACTGCTCTTCTATGAATAAGTTGTTTCCCTCAAAGTACATGTAAAGTTGGTCCTTCAAGAGAACCTCAAGGATCTTGGAGAAGACGGGGATCAAAAAAATTGGTCTGTAATTTGATGGTGATGTTTTATCTCCACTTTTGAAGATTGGCACAGTTTTACTAATTTTGAGCTCTTCAGGGTAAGCACCTTCTTGGATACATTTGTTGAAAATTTTTGCAAGTGGATAACAGAGAATCCCACCAAGTGCCTGTATTAGCACTAGGGTGAAAATACCAATAAAATGTGTGTTGACGTGTCTGAGCGATTTTTGATTAAACACCTAATACCTGAGAAGCTCTGGGTGGGAAGTTTTTGGTGCCCCACCCTATATGTTAATGTCATTGGTTGATACCGATAACATGTAAATACCTGTGGAAATGTAAATACCTAATGTCATAATACTAGGGAAATACCTGGCAATATGTGGAAATATCTGTTAGGTAATATATGAAAATATCTCAGTTAGTACTGTTAATCGGTGTACAAATTTTGTTAAGTAAAAACACCTCGTTCTTATGTTATGTTATGTGTCTGTATATGATTATGTTTTGCGTTATGATGACGTATAAACACCTACTGACCAATGGGATGCAAACAAAGCGTCAATGGCACTCTTCTAAATTTTATATTCATATATGCCTGAGAATTATTTAACAACAATATTCTAATCAAAGTTTTTACACAATTACCGAAGAGTCATGACAAAACGTGGCAACCCTGTTGTGTTGTTATAAGGTCTGTTCTCACAGAAATCTTAAACCAGTCCAATGCAGTATATAATGCAAATCGCCAATAAACAGTTTTCTGACAATTTTCAACCCATGAAATTTGCTCTTACTGGTTTGTGATTTCTGTGAGAACAGACCTATAACTTACCAAACAAAACAGGTACATAAAGCAGTGTTGCCACTAGTAATATTTCACTAAATAATCTTATTGTTTTTTTTATTTATTTATTTTGGAAGGCTTTATTATTAATAAACCTTATATGTTTAACAGATATTGTGAAAATACCAACATTTTTATAGTGATGAACGCATGATAGGTACTTCTATTTTTTAACCAATATACAGGGTGCTACAAATTGGAGTGCATGGCTGCATGCATAGGGATATCGGAAACCGTAAGAGATACGAGGTTGGTTAAATTATGGCAAAGTTGCGCAATTTTATGACCAATAAAATTCTGTATTGAAATTTGAACAATTCCGAATACTTCCGAGGATATTCGGAAAAAAACGAAATTTTGCAAAATCATTTTTATTTTTTCCTGAGTCTATTTGAAGAGCAATTTCAAAATAAATTTCACTTCATCATTATCACTTTTTTCCCTTTACAAGATGTTGCTACCAAATTTCAGATTCGACGTTTCGTCTTTGAGCGGCTATCATCAACTTCGTTTTTCTGAATAAGGGGCCTGGATTTTTTATTTCAGATTTTAAGAGTTTCTGATGTCCCAAAACCAATGAGATATTGCACTTATTCGAAAAATTTATATTATTGGCACTTTCCATAGGAACTTAATGTGTTAGAAGGAGACAGAGAAGAAAATTTTGGTAAGAAATTGCTAAAAAGTGATTAAAATAATTTTTCGAATAAATGCGTTACGTCATAGGTTTTGGGACATCAGAAGCTCTAAAAATCTGAAATAAAAAATCCAGGCCCGTATTTAGAAAAACGAAGTTGATGATGGCCGCCCAAAGACGAAACGTCGAATCTGAAATTTGGTAGCATCATCTTGTAAAGGGAAAAAAGTGACAATGATGAAGTGACATTTATTTTTAAATTGCTTTTCAAATAGACTCAGAAAAAAATAAAAATGAATTTGCAAAATTTCGGTTTTTTCCAAATATCTTCGGAAGTATTTGGAATTTTTCAAATTCTAGGGTTATTCAAAATTTAATAAAAATCAAGGTGCTCTTAAAAGTGGTCCTTATTTTGTTTTGAGTAGTTTAGTTTCGAAAGAAGAAAAGAAGTGGGATAACAGATCCTAGAAGGAGGGGATTTGAATTTCTCATTGGCGAGAACCGAGAACAGGTATGTATGTCATAATAGTGCGGCAAAAGTGAGCATTCAAACCTGAGGTTTAGTTACACTGTTATCAAATTAATATTTTGAATTTTTATAATGTGAAGGAATGTGTAATGTGTGACGTCACTTATCGTAACTTCCACACAATACCACGAGATGGCACACTTTCTTTTATGCAGTTTACTTACTTACTTATTTGGCATCTGTTCCTGTAATAACTGAAACCTGGTTATCTCCAGACGAAGCAGTCCATTTTGGTTTTGATGGGTACAGATCAATTTATGTTAGTAGAGATAAAAGAGGTGGAGGCATTGGCATTCTACTTAACGAAAAATAAAACTTGCAAAACATAACTCAAACTGTTCCATGATCTTTATTTTGGTGGAAGAATGTGATATTATTATAGGAATAATATATAGATCACCAAACTTTGATTACAATTTATTTTTGCAAACCTGTGATGAGAAATTGAATGTTATTGCTAATAAAAAAAAAGACAGCCTGGATATTTGGAGATTTTAACCTGAACATTTTAAATTCGAGCCCACAGCAGCAAATACTTCAGCTCACAATTGAGTCAAATGGATTTACCATAATCAATAATCATATACCATCAAGAGTAACCCAACATTCTAATACCTTGATTGATTATGCATTAACTAATAATAGTAATTATGACTTAAGTTTGTCTCTAATAGATAGTGCAATTTCAGACCACCGACTGCAATACTTGAGCATAAACTTAAAAAGAATTAACTCCAAGTGCAATAGTTATACAGTAACCACTTTAAATAAAGAAGCTTTTAAGGCAAATTTAGCTGAAATTGAAACCTTAAACTGGTCTAATCCTAATTTATTATGTGATCAAATAATACGTTCTTACAATAACAATTTGCATAATAGACACTATAGAAATAGATTTCGTTCTAAAAGTGCTCCTTGGTATAGTGTTAGAAACTTTGAATTGATGAGGAGGCGGGACTTTCACTATCAACAACATAAAATGTTTCCACACAGTGCTCATTTACTTGAACTTTACAAATCAACCCAAAAAGAATATAGAAAATCACTAATTGACTCGAAAAAGGCTTATTATAATACCGAAATAAGTAAAGCAGGGAATGATGTTAAACAGATATGGAGAACACTAAACACTATAATCAACAACTCCAAACCCAGGAAAGACCGCTTGTTACCCAAGTTAGTACATGAAGGAAACACTGTGCAGAACTCGCAGGATGTTGCCAACTTGCTAAACCAATACTTTTCCGGAATTGCTGCAGAACTAGCAAAAAACATCCTCCCAACAATTTTTTCCCCTCAACTCCAACCAGCTTTTACTGCCTATATACACTGGTCAGCAAAATTAACGCACCACTCACTTATTTCTATTTTAATGAGGTTGGAATTGGAACTATGGATTGGCTAGCAAACAGTTCTGATTTTTACCCAATTGAGGATGGCTGGGATATGATTTGTCGCCATTTTTAAGAGCTTCCTAACCCTCCTAATACTTTGAATGGGCTTACTGGAGATATTGTCAAAATATTGAATAATTTGGATTGAAGCCAGATAAGGCCCGTAATTTTAACATGAAAAATCGCTGCCGTGCTATTTTTCAAAATATAGGAGGAAATACCGGTTATTAATTATTTTTAACTAAAGTTAAATTTTTTTTTTTTTAATTTTCTTGTTTTTTTTTTCTTACCTTCTTTTGCAATTTTATCTTTTGTTAATACCCTTATTAGATCAGAATAAGAACATATTTAATCAAGACATAAAAATATTTGGTCAAAAATATGAAATAAAAAATATTTTTCAAAAATAGTAGTGGTGCGTTAATTTTGCTGGCCAGTGTAAATCAATGGGAACCTGTGACTACAGAGGAGGTCACTGCAAGTATAAACAAATTAAAACCAGGAAAATCACCTGGAACTGACAGCTTGGGCATTGATACAATCAAGGAATTGAAAAATGAAATATCGCCTATTTTATGTAAGTTGATAAATCTTGTTTTTAATACAGCATCTGTACCAAGTTTGTTTAAAATGGCCAAGGTTGTCCCTTCATTTAAGGGTGGAATGGAACTAAACAACTACAGGCCCATTTCCCTGCTCCCAGCTATGTCTAAGGTATTGGAAACCTGTGTAAATATGAGATTAACCAGTTATTTGAATGGAATAAATTTTTGGTATGCGGGTCAATATGGATTCAGAAAGCACTGCAGTACCTCCTCAGCAACTACAGACCTAATTACAAATATTTATGAAAAGGTTGATAAGAGATATAAGTGTGTACTTGTCTCGCTGGACTTAAGAAAAGCTTTTGACACAGTAAATCACAAAATTCTCGTAGAGGTGCTTGAAAAAACTGGTATTGGAGGTTCAGCACTACTATGGTTTAGGGACTATCTGTCCGGCAGACTACAGTATGTTGAATGTGAAGGCAACAGAAGTAAAATAGAAAACCTTGTACACGGAGTGCCCCAAGGCTCAATTGTGGGACCCACACTCTTCCTAGTCTACATGAACTCACTGTCATACATACCTCTTCAGGGCTCTCTCAGTTTATATGCAGACGATACTTGCATCACTTATTTTGACAAGGACCCTGCTAACTTAAAAATCATAATTGAAGAAGACTTAGTTTAAATGTGAAAAAATCAAGCTATATGGTAATATCAAAGTTTGAGTCCTGGCCTGACTTCACAATAAACTTCCAGGGTCTCCCATTGACTCGTGCAGACTGCATCAAATACCTGGAACTCTTTGTCGATTCAAAACTTACTTGGGATATGCACATCTTGCATATATGTAAAAAGGTTACACTAGCAATTGGAGTACTTGGTCGAATATCTGACTATCTGTCCATCACGAATCGTAAGATGATATACAATTCCCTCATCCATTCTCACATATCATATCTAACTCTGCTATGGGGCAATGCTTCCCTGAACAAACTGCACCCATTGTCGGTTCGCCAGAATCGTGCTATAAAAAAATTGTTTGGGCTGCCATTTCTGTTTCCAACAAAAGAATTATATTATCCGAATGGCATCCTGGACGTTCACTCTCTGTATATCTTGCAATCGTGCATCTTTATCCATTCTTGTAAGACTTCCAATATTCACTCTACAATAAGTCTCATCCCAGCCAACACAGTCCATCAGCACAATACCAGACTCAATGAAAACTTAAAAACGTCGGCAATGAACAGTACAACTGGCCAACGCAGCATCTTATCAGAAGGACTAAGGTACTACAATCGAATTCCACAACCTGTTAAAAGATTGAACATAACTTGCTTCAAGTGTAAGCTGATCTTCGATGGATACTTTGGGACTGTACAATGAAAGACTTTATCTGCAATTTAGAGCTAAGATACTCATAAATGCAACAACTTTGTGATACAGTACCTACTTGTACTGGATATTTTCTCTTGTGTGATATTGTATAATGTATAAAATAATACGGTATATTGTAATAATGTTATATGTGATACTGAATGACCCGTATAGCCTTCCAGCTCAGGGTCTCTAGTTTAGGTTCATACAAAAATATTATTTTGATAGAGTTACAATTTAGACACAACCCGAATAGGATAGGAAGGATTACAGTGACTTAATAAACCTTCACAGACAGTGGCGACAATAGAAGTCCCGCCTCCATATTTAATTGGTGAATAAAAATTATAAAAGCCCCAAAAATATGAAATTTTCTTGAATCCTTTTATAAGACATTAGAGCAAGACATACTAAAAGTTCAGAGCAATTGAACAAAGGACACAAAAGTTACAAAGTAATTTATACAAATACATAGTTTTTGGAGGAATGAAATATGATAATCTCACATAAACAAGGTAATGCTGCTGGATTCTATTTTACGAGTCGAGTTGACATTTGTATTGAATTGTCAAAATAGCGATTCTGTTTTTCAATTTTTATGTTTTACACGGTACGTCCGGAGTTGTTGTATTTGATATCGAGACAATTCGACTCGATTCGTAAAATAGAATCCGGGGGCTGGTTGGGGAATTGAGCTTAAGTCATTGTAGAAAGTACCCTTCAGTGGCGCCATCTATTGACGATTCCCTCAAATAACCATAGGTGACGTCAGGTCAGAATCTTCTGGTAGGGGTAGGTACTATTTATGCACTTATTTTTTACATTACAAGGGTTTGATTTGATTACATAGCTTTGTTCCAACAGACATGAAAACCGTTCCAGAACTAGTAATTTCCCTTTGCCCACCTATTTTTCAATAATTTGTACGCTTATCCTACTTGACAAATGAACTGGAAATTACCGTTCTCATGTCAGTTGGAACTGTGCAATGTTGAAAATAAATAGTTCTAAAACATTATGTAGATTCACTTACTGGCATATTTCTTATCCTGGAACGCAGCCCCCGTCCAATCGCTGATCTTGCCCAACCGATCCCCTTTGCTGAAGGGCTGGTAGGGCATGTCCTTGAACTGGTCGGGCAGTTCGCACGGGCCCCATCCGGTCGGGTTGTCTTGGATCACCGGAGCCTCGAACAGAATCGCTTCGCCTTCTTGCTGCTGATTTTCCGTCATCGTCATTTACGAAATTTGCACAGAATATGTTTACGGAAAAATGCTTGGACGAAAAAAGGAGTTTCTAACCTCAAATTTTTGTGTTGGTTGGCTTTTTGACAAATGGATGCGACGTTGCCAGGTTTAATAAATGTTGCTCCATAGACCATAGAAAAATTATCTGTTTTTGTTGTATTTAAATAAATTGATTATTCGTAGTCAAAATTATGATGGATTTCTATAATTATTATTATTGTCGGTTCACTACTCTACTTACTGGCAATACTGCTATCATCTTTTCGTTTGGTTAATAATAATTTCAGGGAAATTTGGCAACGTTGCTGCGTTAATAGTTGCAAACTCCAACAGCTTTTAGTAAAAAAAGAAGAGCTGACGTCATTGCTGTCATTAAATTTTTCACATTTAAGCAGCCATTTTACTATTGATTGCTCGGAGCCATTTAATTGTGGTGTGGTATATTATTATTTTTTTGCATAAATTCCCTAAATAAGCTCGAATTTATTTAGTTTTCCAGTGCGATTTTGGTCCAGCACGATGTCGGCCCACGACCAAATGCGCGCAATGCTCGACCAGCTCATGGGCACTGGAAGAAACGGTAATTATTTCCAAACTAAAATTCGATATTGATTTTCTGTCGATTTCAGGTGAAACCAACAAATTCCACGTGAAATATAACGACCCGAGAGTGTGTAAGTCGTTTTTGCTGAGCTGTTGTCCTCACGAGATCCTTTCCTCGACGGTATGTTAAAAATTCGATTTATTTGTTATTAAAATAAGCCCTCAGGGTCCTTTATCTCGAAACCAAGAAATAGCTTTCTCATGAAAACGGAGGTTCTGTTTTCGTCGCCCATAATCATATTTTCATAACCCTGACAAAGATAGAGCAATAGTTCTCATGCGAACACTATTCCTCAGTTTTGAGAACAGACATCTGGTGTGTTTCTTTCATGTTTGACAAATTTTGAGGCATTCTTGAAGGGTGAACACACCGAGAGTATTTTTAAATTTAAATAAGGGTCATTTAAAAAAAAAAAAACTCGATTTTATTTATTCCGGAACACTAATGAGATGCACTGTATTTTCAGAAACTACAAATATCTAAAAAAAGATGAGGAAAATAGGTGTTAAGTTTTGTATGTAAGTACATTGAAGTACGTATTTAAAACAAAAAAAAGTAAATTTCTTTAGGCTATTGTGAAACATACTTTTTACTTATCAAATTTTGATTGAATTTTGATTTTTACAGAAAACTGACTTTCTCAACTCTTAATACAATAAGTTTTCTTAACTAATCCTTTATTGACCCAACAAACTTACAAAGGTAATGATAGAGCAGAATAAAAAAAATAATAATTCAATGAATCACCATAAGGCTGTTACACACAATTTTGTATAATGCATAAACATAAGCCTCAACCAATCACAGGTTGTATTCCAGATCTCCTGATTTTCAGTCGACAGTCAGATAGATCCTTTTTATACAACCTATGATTAGGTTGCGACTTATGTTTTTATGTTATGCAAAACTGTGTTATGGCCTTTATACTAATAAAAATTCAATCAAATTGGAAGTAAATTGTAAATATATTGATAAAAACATAAGAGAAGGATGCGGTGTTTCCATGTTTTTAATCAATATATTGATCATGTTTATTCATCAACTGATTTTGGTAAGTTTTGGTAGCAATTAAAATAATTTGACCCTAACCTCATCCGGTAAAATTGGTAAGTAACACGAAATCCAACACGAGAATTGCCACAGAAATTCGATTGTGAGTATGACCTAATAATATTTTCACAAGTTGCATCTAGGGGGTTCTCGATAAAGACCGATTTTTGTGAGTATTAAAAAAAAAAACGATAATCTCGTACGTGGTCTGTGGCGCAGTTTCAATTAACCGGCTAATATTCGCAATTAATTGTCTGAGAAAATTGGAAAAAAAAATTTGTAAGTTTATTGTCATTATAATTATAATTAATATTTGTTTTTAAATTTAGGGATTTTCATTGCAGTAATTATTATTTTTAAGTATGATACACACTATGCAATAATTTGCTTCACCTATTCTGAATTGATTATTCAGTTTCATAAAGGCAAAAAGGTTTCTGCTATATATAGGGTTATCCAAGTTCACCTTGATAAAATAAATTTAAAAAAATGACACTAAAGATCGAGATTGCGATAAAGTTTTTATGGGATTATAAAGTGTGGTTATTGCCATTATGTGTGAATTATAATATCATTTGAATATCCTCCACGAAACCTCCTGCAGGACTCAATCCTGTTGAGGTGATTTTGGTATCTTTTTGGCACATTTCAGGCATATCCCGGTTATAACTTGACGAATATTGTCTTTCAACACGTCAATCGTTGAAAGGTTATTGGCATAAATACGATCTTTCACATATCCTCACAAGAAGAAGTCCACCGGTGTTAGATCACAAAACCGTGTTGGTCAATTCACATCAGCCAAGTTCAAAAATACTCGTCCTAGAAACTTTTCTTTCAACAAAGCCCAATTATCTCGTGTTGTGTGACTTGTGGTGCCATCTGCGGTGGTAAAATGATCCATATTCTAAAATGGCATCCATCCAACAAAACAACCACCTGTTTTGTTAACATGTATCCTTGACCGCTAACAAATGTCACGTGTGTACTTTCTCAAGCACAAAATGGATAACCCTATATTTTTTAAAATCCATATCCTTTTATGCATTCAATTGAACTGAATATAAAATATACTCTGTCTCGAAATTAAATATAAATCCCCATTGCAAAATTTCAGTGTCATTATTCTTGAAACATGAGAACAAGTGCTCTATTTTTCTCAGTTATATGCAACTGTTAATACAAGTAACAGAGACAAAACATTCATTCTCCTGGGAACGCTGCTGCCCTGTTTCAAGAATAGGGACCCAGGTGAGGCTAGTGAATTGGTAACAATGGAAATTTGTAAATAAAAAAGTTACCAAATTAGATTAAAATTGAACCATGCCTGCCCCTTATTTACTTTTTAGTTTTTGGGACATAGTATAGATTTCAATGTGCGCATAGTGTGTATCCAACTTTAAATAGACACAAAATTATTGTTACTGTATACAGGATGTCAATAATATTTCTCTGAGCAACTTTCTTCTTTCCAGAAAAAAACTTGTAATGGGCTGGTTTCTCAATAGCAAGTAAACCCTAGGCCCTGGGTTAAGCATAACTCTAGGGTAAATATTGCTAGAGTTAAAACCAACCTAGAGCTAACTTGCTATTGGGAAATTGACCCAATGACATCCTGTAGAACGATCAAATTAATTTTCAATTATTATAGGTAAATCAAAAAAACTGTAGCCCCATTTTTATTTTAAATTTTTGACAAATCAAATATTTTCAAATTTTTTTTTTTTTTGTATGAACAGCGCATGGACTTGGGCGAATGTCCAAAAATTCACGATTTGGCCTTGAGAGCCGACTACGAAAACGCTCAGAGGAGCAAAGACCACTTTTACGATTTGGATGTAAGTATAGCAACACTTTATAGAACTGTCAAAATGTTTTTATAATTTTGACATCAACAATGACATCTTAACACAAATAGACATCTCATCCTATTCATAAACTGATGTTTGTGGTGATGACATGACCTCCTGCTCAAGGAAGGTCATGGTGGGGATGCATCAGAGGTGTACACAAGATCTGCGTTCCTGTCATTTAATTGACCAACTTATTTATCTATCTATCTGTTTCTCACTCATATGATATACGTGTCTATCTGTGTTAATATATCATTGGTCCCTGACATCATTTTAGCACATTTTAGTTTAAAGAAATCACTATAGTCAGTTAAGCAACGTCGCATTGTTCAATGTTTTCTGATAAATGAGTTGCATGAACAAGGTGCGAATTACGGTTGTCATCTCAGTCACTTCTCATAGCTTAGACAAGGAAAGCATCAAAGATGTCTGTCAGACTCATTTTGAATTATTTTTATTGGTTGGTAAAGTAGTCTAACATCATACATTACTGCCATTTCAAAGACAAGAAAAATATTAAAGATGTGCGTCAGAGCCATTATAAACTATTTTTATTGGTTGGAATATATATACAGGGTGTAAATTTGAAAACTTTCAATGCGAATATCTCTGAAAGTGAAAAAGTTAGAAAAACGTTGGTACAAATGTTATACAGGTAGAGGAAACTAGAACCAGCATATTTTGGTTTTGGGGTGAGCGATCCCTTGGGCCCCATGCACCCAAACCTCAAAATTTTGAATGGCACCGCCTCATTTGTGATGACCTAAAATTGAATATTCACATGCATAAGAATTTTGACAAAAAATATTGCATTTTAGGTATCACAAAAGGGGTGGTGCCATTTGAAATATTGGGGTTGGGTGTATGAGGCCCCCAAGGGGTCATTATAACCCAAATATGGGGATTCTGGTTTCCCATACCTGTATAACTTTTGTACCAAATTGCGTTTTTTTAACTTCTTTACTTTAAGAGTTATTCACGTTGAAAGTTTTTAAACTGACACCTTGTATATGGTGAAAGTCCCTATTACTACTTTATTACCAACATAAAACATATAAAACAACACCTATTTTTATGTAATGAGTTTTGTGTCTATTTTTCTGTTTATTGAAAATTATCATTGACAGTTTGATTTTATAGTTGAACCAAATCCAAGCGGGGCAGTAATTTCATTTTCTATCAAATTTCCTCCGTGCATGCGCACTTGTCCTGGTCGGGCGTTTCAACCTTATTCAACCAATAGGAAGGCTGGATTACCAGTTGGTTTTTGATTACAAAATAGGTTATTTAATGTCATTCACTGCCGCTTGGATTTGGAAATGGTGTAGTAACTTCTATTAAACGATGGTAAGATAAAAATTACCAAATTCGCCCCCACAAAAAGTGCCAACATTTACATTTTAATAGCAACACTATTTCTGTAAAGTGATTTCTATAATGATCAATTTACTTTGCTGACTTGCGAGAATCCATAAAAATATCCCAGTATATCAGATCAGAAACCTGCATCAGATTTGCATCAATCCAAATTTCAAAACTGTAGCTAAATCACTTAAATTTCAAGGCCATGGAGCATCTCCAAGCCTTCATCAGCGACTGCGACCGACGAACGGAATCGGCCAAGCAACGCTTAGCCGAAACCCAAGAAGAACTATCAGCCGAAGTAGCCGTGAAAGCCAACAGCGTGCACGAACTTCAAGAGCAAATCGGTCAGAAATTGGCCAAGGCTGAACAACTGGGAGCTGAAGGATTCGTTGACGAAAGCATGAAGCTCATGGAAGAAGTCGAAGATTTGAGAAAACGCAAAATGGAAGCCGAACAAGACTATAGAAACTCGATGCCAGCCAGCAGCTATCAGCAACAAAAACTGAGAGTTTGCGAAGTTTGCTCGGCCTATTTGGGCATTCACGATAACGACAGGCGTTTGGCTGATCATTTTGGTGGCAAGTTGCACTTGGGCTTTATTAAAATCCGCGAAAAATTGGCCGAACTCGAGAAAACTTCGGACAAACGCAAGGAGGAACGCAAGAAGGCTTTCAAAGACAAGGACAGGGAGGACGATTATACTGGCAGACGTTTTAGGGAACATTACGTGGGTGGGAGGGAGTTAGACAGGAGATCTCGTAGGCACAGGTCTAAGTCTAGGGAGAGACGCGACAATAAAGACAAGAAGGATAAAGGCGACAGGGATAATAAGGAACGCGGAGGTGATAATAATCGTGATAGAACTGACAGGTAATATTTTTATTTTTAAGGCCCAGTTTATTCATTTTCTGATAAACTATAAGGTAATGCAATTTGACAGATAAAAACGCAATCAGGTCTCTGATTATTTCCTGTTATGTTAAATACTGCTTATATATCAATTGTTACTCAAGTTAACAAAAACCTCAGATTTTATCAATGTCAATATGATATTGTTATTGTTGTTGTGTGGTTCAATCTGAAAACTCTAAGGTTTTTGTTTGCTAACAAGGACCTAACTAACAATTGATTTCTCCGCCCTAATGTAATGAGTAATCGAAATTTTGATTATTATCGGCTTTTGAGTCCTAACTGCCCTTAGAACAAATTCTCTATGGAATCAAGAGTTGATAAAAGTTAAAATTTTGACCATCACTGGCTCTTGATTGGTTCTAGGAAGGTTTTCCAAAGAATCAAGAGCCGATAATAATTCAAGTTTTGATTATCTATGGTTCATTTATTAATTGGATAATTTATTTAGAGAAATTAAATACCGAATAATATCTATATTGGATTATGTGCTCTGTCTGATATACAAAATAGAAAGATCATGCAGTCCATGCCGACTTATGGTAATTTTTCAATATTGTCACAACCTCTCTGTGACGGGGGGTTTAGGGTGGATAGACGAAAAGACACTCTCTGCTTAGACCCCTCAGCATCGCTTATATCCGCTTATGCATATCATTGCCACTGCTAACAGTTATGTTATAGCTGAACAATTATGTTTCCCTATTTTGAAGTATAGAATAAACAGTGACAAATAACTTAATGTTGTTAAAATAACAGAAAATGATTCATCGTAGGTCAATATAATCTTATTGGTCAACCAATAAAGTTATGGATTGGTAGATTTATCTTGCAGACAATTACCAGTTTATTTGAGAATAAATTAACCAAGACTTAAGGACTGAATTTATAGTCGCTCCTTGAGGTTTCCTCAGACCTTAAGGGAGTCTTGAATGTTTAAAATTGACATGATCAACTTGTCAAAGAGTAGCAAGTGTCCATTCTGAACTCACAACCTTCAAGCAAAAGTCAAGGAACAACTATAAATTTGGCCCTAAGTATTAACAAGAAAATAATTATTTAATTAAATTAGGAAAAGGTCTAGGAGTCCTAGGAGCAGAGACAGAAGCAGGAGATCTCACTCACACCGATCAGGCTCAAATGATAAAAGAAGGGATAGAGAATAAAAAAAATAATAATTTTAGTATGTAATTTTAATTAATAGTTTCATCACATTTATTGGGCTTAATTGTATAACTAAACAGATATTATTAGGCTTGTGGCCTGGAAAAAAAATTATTATTTAATGTTGTAGATAAAGTATTGTACCTTTTCTGTTCAATATACCTAATAAAGTTTCAAACGTTTAAAATTTGTCTGTCTTTTTTCAATTGACCCTGGTACCTTTTCTGAGCAATCCGCTCTATATTGGCCTTTTCAATTCTCCTTCTGATCCTCTCAAGACTGGCCTCTGAAGGTTGAGGCTTTTCGTACAAGGAATCTCTCACGCATGCCCTCAATTTTTCTAGACAATCTGCCAAATTGAGTTGCTGAGACCTTGTGACGTCAGAGCGAAATATCAAGTGGCCTTCTTTGCTCAATTTAGCCCCATATTTTTCTAGGATTTTGGATTTCACTTTGTCGCTAAGCCAATTTGCCTTTTGCAAGTGAAACCTGATGTCAACTTTCGTATTGACTTTGTTCACGTTTTGGCCTCCGGGCCCCGAACTACGGCTGTAAGTGATTTCTAATTGGTCCAGAGGGATGTAGCCGTCAAAATCAGGACTCTGAGCTAATGAAGACTATAACATTGATTTATAGTAATTGGTTTAAAATATTGTCTGTAATTACCTTTGAAGGGGTGGTCAGTTTGAGGCTACTTTGGGGGTGCAATTTTTCCAAAGACAAGTCGCTTTTATAGGTTCGAATGGGGTATTTAGATAATGGTCCCGAGGTGAATAAAGTGAAGCTTTTCCGTAAGAGGCTCATGATTTGTTTGGTAGTTTAGGGATATTAGGTTTAGGACGATTTTAAATCAAAATTTGAGGTTATGTGAATTATGAATCCAATTCATCTGTCAAAAAGGAAAATTCAATATGGCGTGGCGACCATGCAAGTCTGTTTTGAAAATGTTTTTATGCGTATTTTAAATTGTTTTGCTTAGAGATTTGCTTGCAACTTTGATTTTGATTATTTAATAAAATATTTGTTGACGTATCTAAACTATTAAATCGGGCAGAAATTAGATATTTTTGTGTTTTTTGGCCCATGTGTGCCCGCCACGCCATCTTGAGTGTCACGTGGTTTGGATTGCCTATTAAAAAAAGAAGAATGTTGACAGAACGACCAGAACGTTTACTCAACATAACATAACCTTAGTTTTTTTTGTCAATAAACTTTTATTTTAAAAACTTAAAATGCAAATAATCATAAAATTCATTGGGACTCCTTCTAGTCAAAAGCCTTCTCCGGAAGGCAACAATACAACGTCTGCCAATGTAGACGAAACCACGACGGTAATGGACCTCAAAAAGAAAGTGGAAAAAGACTTGAAAATTCCAGTTGCACAGCAGAATTTGGTTTTTGCTGGGACACCTTTGAGGGACGATCTGAAAATCGTCGATTATCGTGTAATAAAAGAGGGCAGCAAAATATACTTGTTGACAAAAAAGCAGGTCACTTTACCCTATGCCCTCCAAAAATTTTTAAATCAATATTATTCGGGAGATCAGAGCAAAATAATCGAGAATGAGTTTATGAGAAACTTCCGCATTAAAGTTGACAATATGAGTTTGGACGATTTAGAAAGGATTGCAATAGCAAATCTGAATCAAGAAAGTTAGTAACAATATTAACATCTTTAACTTATTTTATAATAAATACAATCTAACTGAACCAAAAAAAATATGTATTTTTATTTGATATTTTCATCTCTATTTATTTATTTGTGGTTTTAATAAAAGGTCTGTTTCTGAAGAAACCACAAACCAGTCAGGACCGGTATTCTCGTTTTCGAGAACGCTCACTGCTTTTAAGTCGCTCGGTACTTCTAATGTAAATTCAAATGAAAAGTGCCGAGCGACTAAAAAGCGGTGAGCGTTTTCGAAAACAAGAATACCAGCCCAGAGTGAATTTCATTGGTTGAAAACAGTCAGAAAACTAGTATCAACCAATGAAATTCACTCCAACTGGTTTGTGATTTCTGGTCAGACCTACTCATTTGCATTTGTGCTCAAGTGAATACTAGGCTTTAAAATGTATATGAATGATAATTAGGGTGAAATTTTCAATTAGCCTAAATAACATATTATTTACTCTTTTCAATTATTTACAAAACCAGAAAAATATTGTACTCACTTACACAGTGCTAATAAAATTAAAAATATAAATACTTAGTAAAGCTATAAAGTCTGAAAAATAAAGTTTCCTTTGATAAAAGGCAAATATTATCTAATTTACAAAGAATCCTCTGTCAGTTCCAAAAATTGAGCGCAATGTTCCCTTACACATTCGCCCTTCAAATTGAAGACGAATTTGTAGTAGGAACCGTCAGCGCAAACAACTAAAAAATAAAACAATCAAAACAATAAATTGCACCAAAAAATACTTACCAATTATAGAGCAATTGTCTTGTCCAAAGGCGCATATACAAGGCGGCCCATTGGGGACTGTAAATTTGCAAAATGACCATGTAGAAGAGAAATATTTAGGCAAAAATACAGCATTGGCAAGGCTGGACTGTTTGTTTAATTTAGTATCATCCAAAGCAAAAATGTGAATTGTACCATGGTCAGAAGACACACACAATAATGTAGAGGAATTATTAAAACTTATACAATAAATTGAAGCCTAAAATAATATATTATTGAATCATATTTTTATATAAATTATTGTAGTTCTCACTTGATTGGCTCCTCTACGAAGTTCATGCAGTTTTTCTCCAGTAGAAGTATCAAAAACCCTAATCAAAGTCCCCTTTTCACTTGCAGTGCCTAATCTAGTGCCTTGCAAGTTTAAAGAAATACAATTTATATGTGCTTCGTGGGCTGATATATCAAGTGGGGGCCTTTCTGTATTAGCCAAGTCAATTAACTAAAATAGTTTTTTGATAATATAAGTACATAGAAAGATTATTATATGATAATTCAGGCCCTACTTGAACAAATCCAGTTTTTCTACCAGGAAAAGCCAATATAGAGTTATTACTATTAGGACACAAAACACAAAGCCCTTTAGGATTGGAGCAAGTCTCGAAAACATGTATTTGAGTGGGCGTTTGTGTAAAAGTATAAACTTTAATCACTCCATCTAAAACCACTACAATTCTGTCACGTCTCAGACGTACCCCCAATACTGGATCATTGAATTCCAGGTAAATAGGGGTGGTTTTACGCAGATCGTCCCAAATCATTACCTAAATTGAATTGTAGTAAATTGGATATAAAATAGGACAATCCTTACCCTGTTTGGAGGGTATAGAGGTTTATCACCGCCACCAACCAGTGCCAAATAATTGCATCTGAACAACATTTCCACATAACTGAGACCTCCATCATCAAAATCCTGTCTCACTTTTTCCTTTAACGGGTCGCAATTGTAAATGCGGAAACCCGTATTTGTGGCACAAGCAAAACAACCTTAAAATGTTTATTTATAAATGAAAATTTTTTTGCCTAGTTTATACAAAGAGTGGTACCTTGATCTTGATTGAATCCGGCAAATAATAGTCCGTTACCGTGCTGATTGTCTCTACCCAAATTCATTTTTAATTCGTTGCTTGTTTTGAACAATTAGAAACAATTTACATTTTTGTTATTAACAACAACACAAATTTTGCTTTTCAGAGAAAAATATATTCATAACCTCAAACGGTCACACTTGACGTGTCTGTTGCTTATAGCAACAATTTGGCAACATTGTAGAAAAGAGTTTCGAAGGCGTATCGATATAAATAAATATCGATATATCGTATCGATAGGCTAGGTTATATTTGTTTATGAAACCCAAACCAGTGTTTAAATAATTAAAATGAACTTGCAATTATTTATATTAATTACTACAGCGTTAACAATAGTAAATTGCATCACAGAAGAAGACGAAGGAGTCAAATACGCCAATAGATGTGAAGGTACTCAAAAATAAAGCCCTGATCACATTTTAAGCATTATCATCGATATTTTTTCCAGCCTGTAAAATCCTAGCTATCGAATTACAAAGCCGCCTAGAAGAAACGGGAAAAACGCACGACGTAATCGAAACCGGCTACTCGGTGGACGACATCAAGCCGAAAAAGAAAAAGGACTACAAAAAATCAGAGCTTAGGCTTATAGAGTCCCTTGATGGAGTTTGCGATAGGATTCTAAAATATAATATTCACAAGGAGCGCGAGGATAGTACAAGATTCGCCAAAGGCATGAGCCAAACTTTTCAGACTTTGCACGGGCTGGTGGACAAAGGGGTCAAAGTGGAACTAGGAATACCTTATGAACTTTGGGATCAACCCAGTGTAGAGGTTACCAATATGAAGACACAAGTAATTATTCAATATATGTTCTACAACAGATAAACATGATAATTTATTTTAGTGTGAAACTATGCTAGAAGAGTATGAAGCGAGTATAGAAAAGTGGTACTTCCAGCACCAAGAAGGCGGGGAACCTTTAAAAACCTTCCTATGTGAAAAATTAGTGCTAAAAGGACAAGACACAAATTGTTTGAATGAACAATTAAAAGGGGAAACAAATAATAATAAAAAAGAAGAATTATAAATTACATTTTACACAATTTTATCTAGTAGTAATATTAACTATTTTTCTTGCTTAGGTTTCCTGATATGTTTAGCTTTGCCTCTCAGTACCCTCATACGTTCCATTTCCTCTTTGAAGTCCTCATGTTCGTCCCTGAACAAACCATAGTACCTTAATTTCATCATCAACAGTCCAGTTTCTACATGTCTAGGGTAATAATGGGTCAATCGTCGCTTCATATTAATTGGCTCTTCGCTAAAATTCATATAGTTTGAGGACGTTTTTGGGGGGTGAATTGTTGTTTACCTAAAAAGTTGCACTACTCTCATGGATTTTACGTTTGTAGGCCTGGCAGGTTCCCCAAAGATACGGTTGCTCAAACGTTGCATACGGCGAGCGTATTCGGTGCCTTGTTTAATTAAATCGCTGTATTTTACGTAATTATTCATTTTTTTTTTGTTTTAAAAATTAATTATTATTAATTTTTTAGAGGTTATGTTTTATTCTTCATTTTTTATAATTTTTATTGGCAGTAGCAACTTAATTCAACCATTATTCGATAGTGGCGCTACCTGTAACTATTTCTATCTTTTTTTAATTTATGAGTTCATATTTGCCATCTTTGTTGTTGCAGCTTTCTCTTAGTTAGCGGCCATTTTATATTTGATTCTTGTTTGTGTGGAAATTTGTCTCGCTTTGTAGTCAGTGGTTTTTCTCCATTTTGACTCAATTTTCCTGTAATTTTATTAAAAAAAAGGTGTTAATTATTTTTCGGACAGGTGAGTACCTTTAATTTGCGTTTTATTTAAAATAGGTGGGCTGTGGCCGGGGGACTACACCTTTTCGAAAAAAAATGGCTGGGCGACGACGGTGACGTTGTTATAATTTAAAATTCGAATTATTTGGCTTATTTTTCGCCGGGTTTTTGTCTATTTTGAATGCTTATTAATCGGGATTCGATCAATTTGAATTTCAAGTAGGTATATCGATTTTTGTCCATAGCTTGTCATGTCTTCCATTTTGTATGAATACTAGGCAGGAAATTTTGATGGGTCTTTTAAAAAAAGGTGGTTTCTAACAAAAATAGCATTTAATTAAATGTAAAACTATCAATTCTATATTATTTTGTGGCGTTTTTATACAGAAATTTGATTTGAGGTTAGAGAAGGCGATTTGACTCGAGGTCCGAGGATGTTACACACCTACAGGATTGCTTATCGGCCTCGTTTTTGGTCACTATTCGTGACGTCATAATCAAGTCGTAACATGCTGCTACGTCACAACTGGTGATTTGACGGGGGAAGGAGGGAATTTGTTAATTGTTACACACAGGCCTTATGAGGATAGGCCATCCTGTAGTGGTAGTGTGTATCATTCATAGATTTAGATTTGACGTTCTCTTTATTCAATATGGCGCCGTGGGAATAACATAACATACCTGACAACCGTAAAGGCACATTTACATTCACTTTCCATTCAAATTCTAATCGATTGGAATAATGTAAAAGCACCTTTACGGTTGTCAAGTTTGTTGTGCCACGTCACCATTTTGAATTATCAGCTGATTCAAATTCCCTAGGAATGCTTATCAATATACCCTCGATGAAGGTGCATATCGATACGAATTTGTTATATCGATAAGGACCTTGCAAAATCGAGGGATAAACCCTAGGATACACACTACTACTACTACAATCTTATCATAAATTCAAACAAATCAAAAATAATGTGTTTCAACAGACCAGGACTGCCCTATACAGGTGGGTTCAAATTCTTATTTAATGGGGATCCTCTAGAAGTGGTAAACAAATTTGTCTATTTGGGAGTCGTGTTCACCACATCGAACTGCTTTCGGATAATGATGGACAATACAATTTTACGTGCATGTCAAGCGGCAGGTGCGGTTATGTCACTAACATCTAAAATAAAATACAATTCATTTTCTGTTAATACGAAGCTGTTTTCTGGTTCCGTTATGAACTCGTTTAGTAATTGTTTACCAGTCTGGGGGCCTCGATATGCTGATGTCAAATCAAATCAAATCAAATCAAAATATGCTTTATTGTTTTAAACAATGTAATGTTGTAAACAAAGCTGAAAAAGGTACGTAATAAAATAAAAAAAAAAAAAAAAATGAATAAATTCAGAACCTACAAAATCAAAAATAGAATAAAGTGTACTTATATGACTTAGTTTAAGTAGTCTAAATATATATGAATCATTAAATTACATAATTATAAAATTGAAACACAAACAGTAAACAGTTAATAAAATAATATAAAATCTTACATTTAAAAATAAAGCAGTACATTTACAATTTAACGTCATAGTAAAAAAAAAAAACACACAGCACACAGAACAGTAAAAAGTATCCATAAGCACACCTTTTTTTGCTTAAATCATGGTTAAAATCTTTCATTGAAGTATTCTTGTATATCATAATAGGCCCTCGCAACGAGCAACTTTTTTACCTCCCTCCTAAATCTCCTTTCCTCATAAATCTCTCTAATACTGACAGGCAAATGGTTGAAGAGTTGACGTCCATTAAAAACAATAGAGTCATGTACTTGGGAGGTTCTGGGAACAGGTAACAACATTTTATACGTTTGCCTGGTGGCATAAGATGACGAACCTTGTTGGTTCAATGTGTTTCTATACTTTTTATGAATTAGAGATACTGTTTCAAGAATAAACAAAGATGGTAATGTTAAAATATTGTTAGCAACAAAAAGCGGTTTGCATGAATCTCTCAAATTGGCCCTGTTCATGTATCTGATTGCTCTTTTTTGCAAAATGAATACTGTATGCATTAGCTGTTTAGCACAAGAACCCCAAAAACATATTCCATAACGTAGATGGGATTCTATTAATGCAAAATATGCTTGTCTCGTAATATTTTCGTCTAATTCACCTGAAATTATTTTTAAAGCATAACAATTTGATGCCAATTTTTTATTTAGGTTTGCAATGTGGCATTCAAACTTCAATCTACCATCTATATGCAAACCTAAGAACTTACTTTGGGGTGTGCCACTTAATATCTGATTTTCCAAATAAACTGGTCCCAGGTTACATTTGAAAGAAATAATATTAGTTTTGGAAATATTTAGACACAGCTTATTTGAATCACACCAGTTCTTTATTAAGGACAGGTCGTGGTTAATGGTTTCAACCAAAATATGTTCATCTGTACCACTCCAGAGAATTGTTGCATCATCTGCAAACAATGTAAAGCTTCCAGAAATGTTAAGGTTTGCAATATCATTAATATAGACTAAAAAGAAAATTGGTCCCAGAACCGAACCCTGAGGCACTCCACTATTTAGAGTCTGTTGGTTTGATCTTATCCCATTATAAGATACAGACTGGACTCTATTGGTCAAATATGATTCAAACCAACTTAGTCCTTTACCCCTAAATCCATAAATCTCCAGTTTACGCAGCAATATCCTGTGACTCACACAATCGAAAGCTTTTGTCAAGTCACAAAACACTGCCGCTGCAACCTGTCGATCGTTCATCCTCATGTAAAGATCCTCCAGAAAACTGAATATAGCATCACTGGTGGATCTTTTCTCTAGGAAGCCAAATTGCACTGTGGTCAAGATATTTTTTTTCTTCAAAAAATTAAGGATTTGCCTTTTAACTATTTTTTCCACAACCTTAGATAAAGTTGGCAGCAATGCCACTGGTCTGTAGTTTGAGGGGCTTTCCTCATTTCCACCCTTGTATAATGGGACAATATTAGCGATCTTCAAACAGTGGGGAAAAATACCTGTAATAAAAGAGAGGTTCATAGCTTCTGCTAGAATCCTAAGTGCATTCTCAGGAAGTTTGTTAAATATTTTAGAGGAAATGCCGTCCCACCCAGGCACCTTGCTACCCTTCAGCTCCAAAATTGTTTCCTTAATTTCGTGTTCATTGGTGGGTACAAAAAAGAATGTTTCAGTTATATTTACATGATTTAAAAAGTCTTCAAAATTTAAATTACTTGGAGAAGGTTCAGTCCTCGTTCTTTAAGTCCCTTTTAAGGCTCCCAAAGAATACCTCCCATGCCATAATTAGAGTTGAAACAGACAGTCTGCCTCTGTCGTATTTCGTGTTCAAGTCAACGCTGAACTATTTTATTAAACTATTAGGCATGGAGAATCACAGGTTGCCCAAAATTTGTCTAAATCGCCAGCTCAATTTATTTGATGGTAATGCCTCCCCTAAGTTTAATTGGGCTTACAACTTTTACAGATGGTTTCAAAAAATCGGAATAACCCACTTGTGGTCTTTAAATAACATTTCTTTAAAACGTAGTAAACCAGAGATATTAAAACATTTTCATGAAAGATGTTTGCAGACCGACTATCGAGTGGCACGAAATTCTACGTATACTTTGTTTTATAGTCAATTTGATTTAAATAAGCATTCGTTGAAGTACCTTTATTCTGACTGTGCTTTTTACATGATTAGAGTTATTACACAAATACGACTTTGTTCGAGTTATAACTGCAATATATTCTGGAATGGCATAGCTTATAGAATTAATCAAGAAGAACTCTGTTCGGTTTGTAACCTAAGAGTGCCTGAAACATTTCTTCACGTTCTCAAATCAAATCAAATCAAATCAAATATGCTTTATTGTCAAAAAAACAATTGTTGTAGACAAAGCCAAACTTAGTGCTAAGAATATAAACTATACAAGCATACTATATAAAATAGAATAAAATAATATGTTACAAACAAGTTCAAACCACAAGACAAACACAAAAACGTAAATGTAAAAATCTAAAAATGGTCAAGGAAGTATTCCTCCATGCTATAATATGCCTTTTCAAGCAACAACATTTTTACCTGTTGTCTAAATAATCTGTATGACACTATCTTCCGAATTGACATTGGTAAGTGATTAAAAATCTTTTTGCTTTTATAGAAAATCGAATTTTGAGTCAGTGTCAATTTAGGAATTGGCAAATTTATATTAAAAGATGAGCGGGTATTATTTGTGTTTAAGGAGTGAATGATGGAGGAATGCTTCTTATGCATCAGACAGACAGTTTCCAGTATAATAATTGCTGGAAGAGTCAAAATTCGTTCACTAATAAAATATGGTTTACACGACGTCCTAAAACTAAGCCCGTACAGGCACCTTAGGGCACGCTTCTGTAAAACAAACAAAGAATTCAAAAGATAAGCGGATGCATTACCCCAATAGCATACACCATATCTTAGATGTGACTCAATTAAAGCAAAATACGCATCTCTAGCCACTGCAACATTCAGGTCACTCCTAATTGTTTTTATTGCAAAGCAGCCTGATGCTAGTTTCGAGCACAGCTGCTCAATGTGTTTGTCAAACCCTAACCTATCGTCGATAACTAAGCCTAAAAATTTATTATAATTTGTCTTCGTGACTGGCTGAGAGTCTAAGCAAATATCATTTAACATACACTTAAAATTTAAAATATTTGTCTTTGATACATTAAAAGACAAACAGTTGCTGTCACACCATCTTTTCACACTAGCCAGATCCTGGGTTATCATTTCACTAAGATCTGTGTGTGTGGATCCTTGCTATGCCAAAGCAGAGTAGTGTCATCGGCAAAGGATGTACAATGGCAGTTTCTGATTATTAATGGTAAGTCGTTAACATAGATGAGAAATAAGAGCGGACCAAGTACAGAGCCCTGAGGCACACCCGCTGTGACACCCAATTCCCCTGACACACAATCAGCAAAACGAACCATCTGACACCTATTGGACAAATAAGACCTTAGCCAACTAAATACAC